GAAGTACAGTGGAAACTTGATATAGGAAAATATATCTTTGTAAATATAAAGTTTATATATGGGCTTATAAATAATACTTATAATTGTATGATTATCTTTTTTCTTTCATTCAGTATTTTGCAGTTTAAGGAGTTTAATTTATAATTTATTACTCATACGCAGTGTTGACTCAAGTTTTATTTATCTTTTTGAAATATGAGCAATATTTAATAACTTTGTCATGTTCCTATGCAATATTATTAGAATTGACTTAGATAAACCTATTTATTTGCATTTATTCAGCTTTTTTAATTTGTTCACAGTATATAATAATTATCACTCATACGTAGTGTTGTCTTTTGTGGGTGAAACTTATTAGCAAGAAATTTAAACTGAATATTTTTCAGGTAGCAACAGATTAATACTATATATAAATTTGTAGGTAGATTTGTTTATATTACTATTACAATTTACTATTTAATTGAGGAAATTATATGCATTTTTAGGTTTTATTATTCTTTATTATTCTTTCTTTTATGAAATATATTACAGGAAGGTAATTGTCTTTTTTAAATAAGAGTATTTATATTATTTATGGGGCTTTTAATTACATTTAAAATATCTATATAAGCAAAGCTTATGGCTTAAATTTGATATTTATTTAGTTATTCATTTAAAATAAATTCTCATATATATTTAAAGTTATTTATTGAAATGTTTTACTGTGCCTGCATTGTATTTTTTCTTGTTTTTGTTTCTACTTTGTCGCTTACTGTTGTTGCCGTTTGTTGATTCTTTTTTTGTTCCTTCTTTTCTTGTGTTGTGTGCTGGCCTGGCCCTTTTGCTGCGGGCATTGACTGACTTCCTTCCTTTCCTGCCAGGATAAAACTTGGAGGAGAAAGTTCAAGGAGCCGGAGAAGATGAAATCTCCTCTTTTCGGAGCCTGGCGCCTGTTCTTCTGCCCGGCCCTTCTCTTCTTCTTGGTTGCTTGCGTGTTTCGCTTTTGTACGTATTCTATTGCTGTTTCCTTCCGATATTCCAAAAGCACTGAGAATAAAGTTCGGTCCTGAAAGAATTTTCAAATTTTTAAATTAATTCAAGAATATAATAGAAAATATATGTTTTTGAGGCGAATTTGATGTAACTAATATAAACATTTTCTAAAAAGAATTCAGAAATCGTAAGACAGGAGTGTAATTTTGATTTTTAAAAATATATTGGTTATTTTCTGAATTTTTTTCTCGATTTTAAATGTATTTTAAACATGGTGTAGATTTTATTTTATTATTCTTACAAAGATGTTAAATGCATTTTCTTCCGAGTGTCCTCCCTCCCCTTGATCCGTGTTGTATTTGTATTATTTTTCTTTTTCTTTCTATTTTTCCTGTTGTTATCCGCCTCTGTTTTACGTTTTTCGCTTTTCTTTTCCACAACATTTTTTTCTATTCTTTCTTTATTTCCCAGTGAATTTGGTTGTCTCGCACGTGAGCCGCATAATGAAATTTGCCACTCCCTATTGTCGCTGTCGTATCTCCCTGTGTGTGTAGTGTGTGTGTGTTCGTTTTGGCCCAGCTGCTTAGCCTAATCTGATGTCGCCTTAAAGAGATGTCATTGCTACCTCCACCCACCCACCCACCCCATCCCCAAGCTCCCAATGATGCTCTCGATTTAATGCCCAGGAATCTCGGCCTGAATTGGCCTTGGTTTCTCCCAATCCTAACAGAGTTTTCAGTCCTGTTTTTCCGGCTTATTTGCATGTGCTTCTTCGTCCCCCCTGAAAAGGTGACAACACCAAATGTTAAATGTGCCAAAAAACAAGCTACCATCATCGACATTACCGAACAATATAGCAAACAGACACAAGAACTACACAAACAAGGGGGGTTTACTTGAGACTTGGTGGATACCCTGGAATAAATATAAGACTTTTTTTGTTTAAATTTAGGAAAATAAAGTGAAAAGTCTAGGGAACTAATATTAAAAATATTAGCTATGGAAATTATAAAATTATCAACATTTAATATAGCTTTTAGACACGAAATCTGTATAGAAACAAAAATAAAATTACTTAAATCACATCAAAGTATTCCCAAAACTTTGCATACCAATTTTGGTAGCTCTATTGTGACACTTGGCCAAGTTACAATGGAACATACCCTGGGTCTATCGCCTTCTAGGGTTTACATAAGACGACACACACTCTCCCACACACACACTGAGCTGCAGACAGCTTGAGGTCTTAGCCTGGACCAATGTCTGACCCCTACTTTTGGCCCGCTTTTTACCAAAGAGCCCAAAACTTCTCCTCACTTCACACTTTTTGGCTGCGCTGTGCTTTCAAGTGGAAAATTACTTTCGCAGCTTTATGATGCGGAAATTATATGAAAATCATGGCGAATTTGCCTTACAAGGAATGCCAGGCGTAGCGCTCCTGGGCTCTGGCTGTGCTCAGTATTCCGGATTCCGTATTTCGCATTTCGAACTTTTCTCATGGCTCCTGGTGGCTCCTTCCGTGGTCCGTGGTCCGTGTGCCCCGGAATCCGCAGCATTCCGTACATCTGCATATGTAGACGGGGCTATCTGTGAGCCCGATCAGGAAAAGCCAGAGCCACGCCCACAGTGCCCACACCGCGGCAAGTCGCATAATGAAACGAGCTTTTGCTTTTGCTTTTGCCTTTGCTCTCGAGGATGGCGACGCCGTTGACAACTTGCGGTGCCCCTCATCCGCGGCTCATCTCTGGAACACTGAGAAAAGTTAGGTGAGATTTAGTAAGGGAATTTTGATATAGGGATTTGGTTAACCTCTTCAGTTTGTGGCCGAAAAAGTATTAATACCACGAAAATGGATCAATTGCAAAACTTTAATGATATCTTTGAGCTATTAATAATTACTATTTAATAAATTATCCCAAAATTCTAGCTTACTTTCAGAAATATTTATAGATATAGATAGATAATAATAAGATATCACCACACATTTTCCTACAGTGCTTTCTCCCACATTGGAATCACAATCCGGCGAGCAGCTGCTGACTGGCTCCATTTCCATTTGAATTAGCATAAAACGAGGCGGCTTACGTCTGTCTATTGGAAGGGGTCGACCAGAGACAGAGGCGTGGCATGGGTTGGGATGGGGTGAATCCGAATCAAAGCCGCCGTGGCATAGCTTGGTAGGGGGGCCGCCATGGGGGCGGTTCTGGGGCAGAGATATCATCTGTTGCTGTTAGCTTCTGCTTGTGCTTATGCTCCTGCAGCTTCGTTATCTTTTTAACTTGCTGGCTGTCGTTTATTTAACTGATAATGATTTGATGGCAGTTGGCTAAGCTTCCAACAAAGCTCGCTCTCTTGTTCCCACTCCCCAGGCATCTTATTCTCCCCCCCCCCCCCCTCCCCACTTTCATTTCCATTCCCATTTCCACGCCCATTCCTCGCATTTACTGAGGTCAATTACACGCTTTCGATTAAATTTACCAAAGCTTCGTGTTGTTGTTGCTCTTGTTTTTGGTGTTGACAGGGAACAGCTGGAGTAGAGATCCCGCTATTCCAGCACAGAATCCGCCTTCTTGTATAGCTGTCCCTCTCCTAGGTATGTATGTGTAAGTATGTGTGGCACAAATAAAGTTGAATTATTATTTTTCTTTATGCTTTCCACAGGAAGCAGAGTGTGAGGAAACGGTGATGGCTTGCGGTTGTGGGCGGGGGGCGTGGTGCGTGCCTGGAATGCTCAAGTGTTGCCAAGTTGCATATTCGCTTCGTTATCCCATCGGGCTAACACACACACACGTAAGCTTTAAAGAGGGGATTAAAGAAATTCCATATTGGATATTTAACACGGGACATTCTCCAGCAGATTCCAGAACATCCTTAGCACAGTCATAAACCGCATTCCAGGACATGTCTTTAAAAAAGGTTAAAAAAACGGAATTAAATAAATTTCAGCATGTCCGATATTATTTAAATTAATATTAAAACTTAACTTGAGTTATACATTTCCATTTAGTTTGTATTTAACTGCCGATTTGTTTACTTCTTTTTATCTTTATCGATCTTCTTCCACAGCGGCCAAAAATGTAAACAAACTAGCGCCACCTACAACTTTTTTGACAACTGAAGAGATAGTGAGAGCGCGAGAGCGAGCTTCGGAGAGAAGTTACAAATTAACGGGATCAGCCTTCAGATGAAGAAAAATTTTCGCGAAAGTTCACCGAAAATGTGGCTGCTGCTGCTTCCCAAGTGTTTTGTGTTTAATTGTTGCAATAAACGCTGAAATTGATTAAAATTATTGATCCACATGTAAGACCAATAACTCGGCTACGTTTTCCGCATATTCCTGCGTGTGGCTGTGTGTGCGTTTCGCGGTGCTGGTGGATGTGCTCCGGGGTGCTCCACGGGACAGTTTAATTTGCTGGCTGTAAAAAGTGCGTGAGGTCCCGTTAAGTTTTATTGCGCGGCGTGTGTGTGTATGTGAACGCGAGTGAGTTTCGTCGGGTTAATAAGTTGGCGCGCGGTGTGTTTAGTTAAGGTTAAAGCAATGGAAAAGGAGTTCGTCCTTATTTCCTTGCTTCCTTGCTGCAAAAAAGAGCGTAAAACTTTATTGCCGTGAAAAGTAAGGGAATTTTGCGAAAATTGCGAGCTGTAAATGCATGTACATACTGACATTCGTGTGTATGTGTGTGCTTATGTAAATATGGGAATTGCGCCTAATTGAAGGGCCATCATACGTATGTGGAAATAAAAGCAAATAACAGCAGGTGAGTTTTTTATACCCGCATATTACAAATTTGTTTTATTTTTGTAATTATTTTTTATTTGGGGAAATTAGCCTCAAACAAATTTACAATTATGTTTTTAATTATCTAAAAATTTTGCTCAACCAAATTAAGGCTTCAATTGTTTAAAATTCATTAAGGGTTTTAATATTTTGTACAGAAATTATTTGGGATATTTTTAAATTAAGGTTGTCAATTCTATATTATTTAAATTTATCATATTTACCATTTCTTAAATTAAATATATTTTCGGTCAATATATCCCCGTTCCCATAACTCATTTCCAACCCAATTTTTTGGAAAATTGTTATCAAAACTCGGTTTTTTACGGCATTTGACCGGCAGCAACATTTCGGCCTAAACCTAAAATGAGTGAGCCGCTTTCGGGTCCCTGGCTGCGTTTCGCCTACAATGGTATCCTCCTCTATACGGCTGTTAGCTCTGGCTGTAAAATGCAGCCGGAGGAGCATCCTCTCGCCCTGGTAGCCTGCATGGTGGGTGGAATCACGGCCGTGTTTGGCCTGCTGCGGGTAATCTTTGCCAGCGGCCAGCCAGAGGAGTGTCGAAAGTTGAGGGACATAACGCACGGAGTGCTGGAACTGGTGCCATTGTCACTGACCAACATGGATCTCTATATGCAGTCCACCGGCTGGAGTGCTGTCACCTTGGGCCATGGCTTCTTCTTGCTGCCGCTGCTCTGTGATATGAGGTGTTGTCTGGCAAAGAATCGGGTCGATTGCGGTATATCCGATAGCCTCAAGGATCTCACCATTCTGGGCAACATAGTGTCTCTTGGGTTTTTGGCCTTTGTGGAACGGAACTTCCTCTATCTGCGAATGATGCTGGTCATGGCTGCGATCAGGTACGGAGTGGTCCTGGTGGACAGCATCAGGGAGAACGCTGGTGAGGATTTGCAAGTGTGCGGAACGGCATTGTTCTTGTACCAACTGGGCAAGGCCGTTGAGTCGGTCGCCGAGTAATATTTGAAGGGGAGAGCACCTTTGCATTAACCCCTGACCACAGCTGCTCGCTTCAAGGGTTTCGCCTCCCTTGTTCCGCTAAATTTTCCGTGAATTGAGTTTTGAACCTGGATTAAATTTCACTTCACCTGACTTTCAATTGCTTTGTTCATGTTTGCTCATGTTTTTGTAATTGCTTACAAACCCCAAACTGTCCTGCACTTGAAAGAAAGAATGTAGTTTCTATTTAAAAGGGATTTGAATTTTGAGGGAAGTTATTTACCTTTCTAAAATATTATTGTGCTCTTGCAATGAGGGTTAAAATACGACGCGATTTAAGAAATCTATCTTAATGGTAATTATCAGGCTTTCTTAATGAATAATTTTGTTATTATTATTATTATTATCACGCTTTCTTAATGAATAATTTTGTTCATCAAATTTATTTTATAAAATTCATCTTTATATAACCTAAATTTCTACACTTTCCATTGTGCAAAAGACAGTATTTACTTTCTTAAAATACAAATACCTCCCGTACCTGCTTTTTTTGGTATACAATAAATTGAATATTACGACTTCTTCGAGTGCATTGAAGGGGAGTTAACTTCTATGGCTTCACTGGTGTGTCACCCACACATTATAATGATATATCGGCGATTACCGATGCGCAATAAGTGCCCCCAAGTCACTGGCTCAAAGCACTCGGCTGATTCATCGCTTCAAATCGCAACGGAATCGTTGGGGTTTTTTCTGTCTTTCAGCGGGGGGCTTATCAATTGATTCCTCGCTAGGATAACAAGGCAATCGTAAGCTTTCGATACGGCGGTATCTGTCGATAAGTACTTGTGGCGGATACTTTAACTCGTATACTTTCTCCTTGGGCTGAAACGGTTGACTGGAGCAGAATGGAGAGTTTTCACGGTTGAGAAAGTATTTAAAATGTTTCAAAGGGAATGAATAATAATGCAGGTACATTTTATTAGGGTAATTCAAATAAAGAACTCTTTTATTGATGTCTTATTTTGGGGCTCAGTGATTTTCAGTTGAAGATTTCAAGGTAACTTTAAGCACACATATTAAATTCTGCATTTGCTTTCAATATAAAATTATTGACAAATCTAAACCAATTGAAATCAAACTAACTAAGAACAGACGCCGCTACCTTTCAGCAATTTATTATATAAAATCGAATCGAAAAACGTTTCTAAATTATAAAATCCCATTTTTCACTTGTGGAAAAGTTGGTGGGAGGAAATCCGGTGATGACATTTATCAACGATGCCCCGCAGAAATGGTAATTTCCCAAACGCTGAGTTGATTTCGATGTTTGTTGTCATTTTTATTATTTGTTGCTCGCTTGTCACCAATATATTATGTATGTATGTATCTATATATATATTTTCGCGTTGCTGTCAAATGACAAACTCTAATTGCAAGTGGGACGGATTTTAATGAGTGTTGTACACACAAACAAATAGTGATGATACAGTTTGAGGGAAAACTATAAGTCAACGTGGTAGTTTAGATAAATAATTTATTAATAGAAACATTACTACAGAATGTTAATCCTTTCAAAGGGAACCCATCTAATGTCTAATTTATGAAAGTCGATTGCTTTTTATTAAATAAAAAGAGTTCGTTTATGATAGAAACACTCTTATATTCTCTTTATAGTTAGTTAATGTTGATTTAAATCAGTTTCAAACTCTAGATATCTTATGTTTATGTTTACATCAGCTAGGCAATGGAATAAATCATAGCCTTACCTTTCCTAAGCTTGATTTATTCCAGATTGCAGCGGGTCAAACAGAATTATATATCTGAAATGTGCTGTATTTGCATATATAAGAGTTTCATATATATGTATATATATATACATATATATACTTTTTTGCCAACTCCCCCAACTATAGCTCTCTTCCGCATTCCTCCCACGCTCATGATTTCAGGGCAGCGTTTTGCTTTATTCAACTTGACAAGTGAAGTGAGTGTGAATATTTTTTTAGGTCACAACAACGGCAACAACAACGAGGACTCCAGGAAACTCCCAGCTACGCCAATTCCTCTGGACTCTGGGAAATTCTTGCTACCTGGCGAAATATAAAATAAACCAAGTGTGGGAAAAGTGCGGCAAAAAACTGCAAAAAGCAAAAAAAAAAAACACACTCACACAGGAAAAATACAAGAAATGGTTCGAATCCTTTTCCATCCTGTTCGGAATTGGGTTGAAGGGACGGTGTGCCGGGAAATTGCAGTCAACATTTATTTCCGCAGTATGATGGAAAAATTCGAAAATAATTTGCGAGCCATAATTAAAAGGCGACAGCAGCAAAAAAAAAAGGAAACTCTGGCAAAATATGGGGAAAAGTTGAAGGAAAATGCAGGAAAAAAGAAATAGTATGAAGGGAAAGGGTGATGGAATAGTGGGCGATATGGGGGAGGAGCCAATGCTATATTATGGGCAAAAGAAAGTCAGTCCCTGAATGTCCTCAATCCGCTGGGGTCATAAACAATTCCATAGCATAGACGAGTTTTCGATTTTCGCCTCAATTGGCAACATATGGTGAACAGACTCGACTCCCCGAGAGCAAGCCATAGGATCTCCCAGGAATCCCATTCCCTTGATTTCCCATTTCCCCCCTCCCCGCCCCAAAACCTATGTACACTTGGGGGAAAAACGGTTTTGATAATAACTTCGGAAATCTTTACTTGGTAGCTAACGATCAAGTTTGGGAAATGCTTATTTTAAAAGAGATGTTTTCCTTAGGTTTTCAATGTTCTACAAGTGTTTTTCCTTATTAAAAATTAATGGAATCTTTTAGGTTTCAAGTTAATTTGTTTATTGATAAATATACAATTTTTGTATCTTTTTTTTTCCTCTTTCTTTATTTAAGAAAACCCAAACAGGAAGTTCAATTTAAATACTTACACATTTCTCATAGTGTAGATGGGTGGGCGGGGCATCATTTGCATTTGTGACTGCGAATTGCGAATGCGAAAATTTAAAGTTTTCCCGATAAGAGGGTTGTAAAAGTACAAAAAGCGGCGGGACAGGAGCTAAGGAGCTAAGGAGCTGCTGCTCCTGTTTCTGCAAAAAAATGGCGACGTTTGCGAGGAACGCGACATGAAAAGGGCGGCAGACAAAAGACGAAGACGATGGCAGCAAACAAGAAAAATCGCTGCCGGCTCCTTGGACGGCGGGGGTGGGAAAACTCAAATGGAAATGGAAAACTGGATGGAGGTGATGGGAAAAAGTGAAGGATGGAAATGGGGTGACCGAGGGGGAGGGCAGCAGAACTTTACTTATACGAGTTTTTCGCATTGTAGAAAGCGCGCGCGGCATTTGCCAGAAGGTGCCAACACATTTTATTGTTGTACTCTAAGCGATGGAGAAGGTACTTTGAAAGTTTCGAAACATTTACGAGCAAGTTCAAATCAAATTTAATTCAAGGAGTCAAGTGCGTCGTCTATTTAAGTGTCCAGTTTGGTTGGTAAATAAGTTGGATTTTGCTATCAAATACGTTTAGAAGTTCTAAGATTTCTCTTTAAAGGGTTGTAAAGGATCCTCTAAATATAGGTCTCCTTGAAATCCTTTTTCTTACTGGCTAGCTTCTTATTAAAAATCTTAAATTTTTATGATACCCTTTTATGGTTGGAAAACGTGACTTTATTTCCTTGTTTATGTTAGAATTAAACAATGATTTCTATTACCAAAACCATTAACCACTTTAAATTCAAATATTTGACAAGAAATCCAAATAAGGAAACTCTAGATCCGAACTCTGGCTAAATTTCTATTTATGCACCATTGTCAGATCACGTTTCTTCAATCAGTTACAAAAGATTGCAGTGATACAGTGTATTTATTGAGGAGAGTGTAAACACAACTTGCCTGACTTTTCCGCATACTTACTCCCCCTTCTCGGTGAAAACTGCGTTCATCCAAACTTTATTTTTACTCCCCTTTAAGCAGAGTATACAAACTTCACTTTTCCGGCGTCCTGTTCTCCTTTTCGTGTTTTATTGTTCGACAAGTCCTCTGTACGCCCGCACGTTTCCATCATCTGTTTTTCCGAGGGGAGTTGGAGTTTTCCCCGGGATGGAGTGGGAGTGAGTGCCTGCCACGTTTAGATCTACGGCACACACACACACATTGGATGGGTGTATCGCACATGTCTCTATCTATAAAACGTCAACTTTATTTGCCCAACAACTGAGGCACAAATAACGCTTCTCCCGGCCAAAAGCCAGAAACATAGCATGGCATAGCATCCCCCATTCAAACGTGTCTCCGCCCAGTTAGCAATAAAACCAGCTGTCAATTTGTTTATATTATAAAAATAATTAGTCTGTATTCAGCGTCGAAGTCGACGACTCCTCCATCATAGATGTATGTATGGTATGAGTGTATAATATATGTAGGTTTTTGGAGTTTTTGCAGTATTTTGCACATTGCATTTGGGCTTGAAAGAAGTGTGTGTGTGTATGGGTTTAGATTTTAGGTGATTATGTTTTAAAATTTAAAGCATAGACGAGCGGGAGATTGGTTGCTGTGATTAAGTACGCTTGATAATTGTGGAATAATAATAATTGTACGAAATAGTATGTATGGAGGATAATGCAATATAATTAGTGTTGTGTTTAGACATTGTTTCGCTTTTGTTTTGTTTATATGCTGACGATGATACGCTGACTAAAAAGGCAATGAAGGAATGTCTCGATAATAATTATATGTAGTTAATGACGATCGATATTCGAAATGAAACGGCACAAAATTTGTAGCTATACCCAGAGCTCCGGGCTTTCTTTCATTCATGCATGCATTCATTGTTATTATTTATATTAATATGCATTATGTTTATGTATATATATATAGAATATGCATTAGGTTTCCTTAAAATCTCGCCGCTCCTCTTATGTATATTATATGTATCTCTGATAAATATATATATATATATAATTTATTTATTTTTTGTGTTGAATTTTCTTATGCTTCCGTTTGTTCGATTTTTCGTTTTTATTTGTAACATAGTTTATTTAGGCAAAAATGGCAACAAAATTGTATGTTTAACATTTGTCTACTTTGCAAAAAACCTCTCCTTTTGCTCTTCGCTTTTATAGTCAGTGGTTCTTGTCGCTTTTCATGATTAGTAGTAGATGTGTGTGTGTGTTTGTGTATAACTTTAGCTAACTAACAATTAATTTAAACATTTGGTAACTTATAATTGGCAATAAATCGTTTGAATAAGCAAACATTCAACATTTAGCATACTTGATCTTAAATCGACTGCCCGAACAAATGACCCAAAAACTAAAACAATAAATATAAGCTATATATATGATATATGCATGTATATATAGTGTATATATATTGTATGTATATAGATGTATCTCTGCATTGTAAAGTCATAGTGATTGTGTAGCCTGATTATGTTATTAAATATATATTATTTATGTTCAATATTTATAGATACAATTGGGATTATCGGTTCACAACTCTCTCAGAGCAGCGGGTATTCGAATCCCATTTCCATTACTTTCGGTATATATATCATATCCCCGATTTCGATTCCGATTATCCCAATTCATTATGCTAGCTGGCAACTTAAGATATTTAAAGCCCCGTTTGAACTTATGCGTGTATTTAGTGAGTGAGTGAGTGAGTGAGTCGAGTGATTGATTCGATTGTTTTTATAGCATATTTAGTTTCATAACTCTTAAGACAGTGGAATTCGTTGTGTTTAAAAAATTCTAAAAGCAATTTCGGAGGAAATTTTCAAGGGATATGGTAAGGGTTAGCGTTGGGAGTTTTCTTTTTTCTCTTGTGAATCCTCATTATTTTAAGGATTAATTTCACTCTCTCTGTTTTACCTTATACAGATATGTTTATTTCTTACGTGTTTTTCATTAGGTTTTCCTTAATAAAAAATAAAGTCTTATTAAATATTTTTCCTGCTGATTTTACCATAAATTTCCACTGTCTTAAAAGCTTAAAAAACCCATGCTTGTTATTATGAATTATTTAGGTAATTGGGTTAGGTATTAGATTACTTTAAAATTGCATGTGTTTTTGGTTTTCTGCTTTCGCTTTGGGTTTGTGTTTTTCTTTGTTTGTTGTGGCAGCCGTCGCCTAGTAAAATTTAATCAGTCGCTATCAAAGATTCTTCTATCCTTCTACCTTTCATCCTAGTCGTTTTTACCTAAAACTTTATGATATTTTTTCCATTTTTGGTTTGTGTTTAGTGTTTTGGCCATTTTGAATGCTGGACTAGCTCGGTTTTCCATTTTTTGGTGGGTGTTTTGTTTTTTTTTGACTCGGATGTGGTGTCTCTCATTATTCTTGCTTCTAAAAATCGCTGATCTCACCCTCAGTCTCTGGATAAGTGCAGGAGAACGGTGTGAGGAGCCAATTGCAGAGTCCTTTGTTAGCACCTCCCGCCTGATGATCCTGGCGATGCCGCTTCTTGTGATTATGCCGCTGGTAATGACCATTTCCCGAGGCTGTTGTTACTGCTCCCGATCCAGAGATCGTTATGCGATGCCTCTGCCCTTGGACATGCCGGAGGCAAAGCTACTCTCATCCGAATCCCTAACAGTGGCCACACTATGATAGCCACTCTCGGCTCTTCTCGAAATGCCCGAATGCTTGGAAGTCCGTGGTGTGGAGTTGGAATCATGACCACTGTCATAGGCCTCGGAACTGGTATTCAGGGGCAGCAGGGGAAGACGCGATTGGGCCGCCAGCGGGAGTATATTCGTGATCTCGTTCAGCTTGTGCTGGGCATCCTCGAGAGAATTTCGCTTGCCCACCGCCGCGGCCATAGATTTCTCATCCAACTCACATATATCATCGTGCTGCGGTGTAAATCTCTTCTCACCCTTTTGCAAATTCGGATCCGAAGCTCCATCGGGTTGCCGGAGCAGAGCATAGTCATCCATCCCGGCTATCTCCATGATGCCATTGAGGCTGGGCAGGGATCCCTGACTGGGACTGTGCGATGGTTGCTTCGGTGGACTGGGTGTCAGTCTGTAGGCAGGTTCACTGCAAACACTGCTCTGACCCACATTGAAATGATAGACGGGCTCACTGAATACACTGCCCACATCCGTTCGGAAAAGGGCAGCTGAGGGTGTTACCTCGGCCATGGCCAGTTGTGAGGTGAAGATCTCATGAAGGCGGGCCAGCTGATCGAATTGGTGTCTAGGGAAAGAAAGAAAATGAGTTGGTGAAGAAGGGAAAATGTTAATTTAGGGATTTTGCGATGAAATTAAATAATAATAAGGTAAAACCCAGTTCGAGTTCAGCTATAGAATCCCACATAAGCACTCACCTAGCTCTCTCGCCGCACTCGCTGAAGGATTCGCAGGCCATATTGAAGCTGGACACAAAGGACAAGTTATCGCAATGACTTAGAGCCGCCAGAGGGTGTGCTCCAATCTCCTGATCCCTATCTCTGGCCATAGTCCTTGCTATTTCCTCCTCTGTGACCTGTAGACCACAATCGATACTCCTTTGCGACGGGTGATGCGATGATGAGGCTCTACTGGCCACAAATTCAGCCTCATGGAGTTGTTCTCTGGACACATGCCGCGACAGCATTCGGTGCAGGTTATCCTGGGAGATATCCCTGGAACCCAGGGGATCATCCAGTAATGGAAGAGCAGGCGGTACCTCCGAGGGACCACTATCCTCATCCTCATCGCCATCCGGCGGAGCGGGATCCAGCAGGGGAAGACTCTCAAAGCAGGGCTGATTGAGATCCAAAGAGGAGGGTTCGGTTTGGAAGGCAGGTCTGTCCGGAAGATCCAGGGATTTCTGCTTCAACTGCGACAGCTTCCAGTGCAGGGCCGTCGGCGAGTTACTGGCAGAGACGGCGGTGCTTTGGAAGACTTGCGATGTCTGATTCTCTACCCATTGTCGTATCATGGTCTTTTTGTGGGCATCCATAAAGCCATAGCCTTGCGTTTGACTCGCACCCGCTGTTGGCAAATTGCCGGCTGTGAGGGATCGGCAGGACTGGGACTTGGGTCCATCCACCCAGGTTTCGCACTGTTTCACATGATTAACCTCGCGCATTAGATGACGAGCTTCGGCCACCTTGGCCCTGGAAACTCGAGGACCATCTATCCATTGCTCCTCGGTGATCTTTCTCATTCCCGCCTCCAGTTGTTCCAGAGCTGCTCCTGGATGGGCAGCTCCTCTGCGCAGCGGTGAACCTTTGGGCGAGGGTACCATTGATCCCTTGGACACCATGTGCCGGGGTATCGGGATGGGAGAACCCATGGCCTGCTGCTGCTGCTGTAACTGTGGCTGCTCATGGGGAATCAGTGGGGAAGAGCAGGCACCTGCTCCTGCCTGACGCTTCAGACTGCCCGTATTGCTTCCTGGAAGTTTTTTAGCTAGAAGGGATTAAAGATTAAGTAACAGAAAGGAAGGGGTTTGGTTAGGGAATAATTTATATATGTTTTAAAGAAATTTGTTCAAAATTCTTCTTTGTTTTAAAAGATACTAAGCTATTTAAGGTTTCAATATAATATTAGTTCAAGAAATAGTTACCTTTCTCCGCTGCCATGGCCTTCTTCATCATCATGGGACTATTGGTGGCCGACTTCGAGGGGGGTTTCTCCATGCCGCTACCCTTTAGGGCTTTGCTCATCACCGCCCGATTGTCCCCGGCACTCAGCGATGGCAGATATACGGGCGGATGTTCACCATCCGTGGCATCGTCATTGGGTCCCATATAGATGACAGTGTCGGCGGAGATTTCCGAGCTTGAGGGATCTGCTCCCGAACCCGCAGAAGAACCACCTCCCAGACCCTGGGCCAATCCCACAGCCAGGGGCATGGGGACACGGTGCTTCCTGCGACGTAGGCGATGAATTCTCGACGCAATTTGAATGGTGGATAGGGCATCCTGGTAGCTCTGCTCCGGCCGCACATGTGCCACGATGGCCACATGGCAGGTGATGGGCGCCAGGCAGTCCTTGAGCAGCGGCGTCAGCGGGTGGTCCTTGTGTGGGGGATGCCGCTGGCCGGATAGTATAGCCAGCAGTATGTTCCCAATCCCCGACAGCGGCAGGCCCCCGCTGCGATTCGCACACCCGCCTAGGTCGATGATATGTAAACGGCTCCGACCGCCAGCCACTGTACAGAGAGAGAAATGATTATAAGAAAAATTATACAACTTTTTTTAAAGGGAAAGTAAAGATGATATAAAAAAAATGATAGATTTCTGGTATAAAACAAACTTTAAGTTCAAGAAATACCTCTTGTGATAGAACTTCTTATTAAGTTTAAAATTTTATCTACCAAAATCTTTATGAAAATCTCAGATGCATATTTTTGCTATTTTTTCTCCGTGTTTAAATAAAAGGAAGGAATAAAAGGAAGTGAGTTTTGAAGGGTGTGAGTCCTGGTCTTGGTTTTGTTGGGCAACGTTGGGTGTTGGGTGCTTGGTGGTGGTGTTTGGGGTGTTGGAGTGGAGGAAATGCGACACTTTAATGGCGCTGCCGTCTAGTGGTAGTGAAGCATTTAGCGGGCCACTTGAGTGGCAGCAGCAGCAACAAAAGTGGCAGCAACAATAGCAATAACAAGAAGGAAAACGGGGTCTTGGAAAAACCGTAGACAGAAATACACTGAGTTTCATAAAAGAAATGGTTTTTTGTTTCATATATCTTAAGTTTGAAAGCATAATATTTATTAAATTTAACTTTTGTGATGTATTTACTCTATAACTGAACAATAATATATAAAGGAGAAAGAGTTTTGAGCTCCCTTGTATCACTAGCATATCTATCTCCATTTTCTCTTACTGAAACTATATTTATTTCATTAAATCTGCTTGCAAAAATTATAAATTTTATACACTTTCCTACAAAAATTCCCTGGAACTCCCAGCCTTTTATCAACCTTTCTCCTAAAATCATAACACCCCAAATAGAGGATAGAATGACTAAAACAATGTGTTGGACACTTACCACCGCCCTTGCGGGACAGGCTGTACTGGTAGACGTGCAGCGTAAAGATGAGGGCGGACTCCAAGGGGGCTGCATATCCACCACATCCCGCTGGCGTTGAAGAAGTACACCCGGATACCGTGGAACCGGAACTTTTTAAGCGTCCGGCCAGCGCCGAGTCGAGGAACAACGCCGCACGCTCGGCGGTGGGTGCACGTAGTTCCGTTGGACCGCCAAGGAAGTCGTCACGCAAATAAATCCCCGGGGAGTCGTCAGATTCTGTGTAGCCATCGTCGGAGTTGGAGTTCCAGTTCCAGTTCCAGAAGGAAAAAATTATATAAAGAATAGAAGAGGGAACAAGCGGGGAGTGAATGAAAAGGGCATTAGGTTTTATGTGGGAATAAACGCTGTATTCTACGGGGATAAAGAGTGTGGGGGGTGATGATAGCATGGGCGGGGAACTTCTACTACTGCTACTGCCCAGGTTAAGTTTATTCAAATTGGGCCAGTTACGACCCCGAACCCGCCCCAGTCATCATCATCATTGTTTGGCCCAGGGGCAACATTACGCCACGCCCCCAGGCCCAGGTTCCCCCCAGTTCCGCGTTATATCCCCAAACACACACTTTCCCACATAACCAAACTCCATCCACGAAGGAGCCATTCATCCTGCCGCCGCTTTTGCCCGCTGGCAGCTAACAGGTGGACCAAAGTCAGAGCTTAAGTAGCCGAAATTAAGGGTACAAAAGCTAAATTAAACAGAGAGATGAAAATTAAGCAATGTGAGAGTTGCTAAAGGTTAAAGGAACTCAATATTAGCTTACGAAATTACTCGGACGGAAACTTTCTTAATTAGTTAATTGTATTAAATTAAATTTTAATCGGAAAAACTTGACAAACTCAAACTATATCAGTAAACTTGACTAAAGTTAAGTTTAACTGTTAAAGTCAAACAAGTATCTCTCCCCAAGTTCCCCCCATCCATATGCTTACCAGCTGCATGGGAGATGAGCAAGTCCTGCGATGGGGCATCCGGTTTGGTGGCACTTACTCCCACGGCACTCACTCTCACCGAGAACCGTGCTCCGCTCTTTTGCCTCCGCTCCTGTATGCCCTTGTAGAGCCAGGCTATGGCACAGGGGGCCGCTCCCAGGGAGCACATTCCCCCGCTGATGCCACTGCCCAGGCTGCCCACCTCGCCCAGCACCGTTTGGGGCTGTCCAGTGCCTGGATATCCCATGGCCAGCAGGCAACCATCGGAGCCTTCCAGCACGGCGGGTATCACTTCGCTCAACGCCGATGCACACACATCCGACTGAAATATATTTATTTATATATACATAAATACAGATGTACAGGGAGAAAATGTTATTTCAAATGGGGCTTATTATTTTGTTTATAAATATAAAGTATACGAAGATATGTAACAAAGTTATACACTTATTGACAAGACAAATAAACTGAGACAAACTTGTAAAAGTTTTAATAATATGAAGAGTCTTTGGTAACATATAAAAGAATCTTTGCTGTAGTCGCAGGATTTTAAAGGTAAAGCCTAAAATATGTCCGAATATTATAATTTATATTTATAATTTATACTTCATATATGTAAAAAAAGTTATAAAAATATGTAAAATACAAGTAAACTTTTCAAAAAATATCGAAAAAGCTAGCCGTAGACGCTTATCAGAATTCATAGGTATTTTAAGATGTCAGAATATTATAAAATATTTAAAGACTGTATAAAAAATTGCTATAAAATATTTAGTGTTATTTGCAGTCTCCTAAAAACCTTCATCTTGTTAGTAAAAATCCGCACTATTGCCAAATTTTTTCCCAGTGTATACAGAGGAGAGTGAGAAGTGCCGAGTTGAGGTCAATAGTGGGTGGTGGCTAACAAGGCATACTAATGGGCTCCCTTTAATGGCTGGAATTGGGTTCGATTGCGGGGTTAATTCGATTGCTGATTAGATCCGATGGGGGAGGACAATCCGCGTATGTGTTAATTCTATTGGGTGTATTTTTCTTTCTTTTCTCTCCACGTTTTGCTCTAAGGGGGATTGCCTTATGAGTGATTGCACTTCAAGGGTCATAAATCTTGGGGATAGAACTTCGGTTTCCCTATGAATTATGAAGATTGATTGTCGCATTTTGTGGTGACTTGTTATTCTCTGGAATTACTAACACCTCTTTTGTAATGCCATAACAAGTTAAATGGCTGAAACTGAACTGAAGGGAGTGACAAAGATGCGGAAATTGTATCTTTTGTATGTCAAGATGTATCTTATTAATATTATATTATGACCTTTATGCTTGTAACTAAATATGGAATGTTTAAATTTTGATGTTTAATAATAGCTATTAATAGAAGGGGAAATTTAAGTTCTTTGTTTGCTTTTACATTTTAAATAATTAAAATATTTAAAGTTTCAGTTGGTTTTGTTCTCTGATTGTAAACACTTTTGTAACTTTGTTTAAGTCATTAAGCTCATTCACAGAGCTTATTGTTTATTTGTTTAATTAAGCTCACATAATGAATGCATAATAAAAGGGGAAATTACAACAAATAACACACATAAACTGTCTGTTTTCATAAATCACTAAAAGCTTCACTGATTATTATTGTTCAGCGTTTGCAATTAGGAAAGTGTGGAAACCATTGGTTTTTAAAGGACAAAATATTTTAAATAGCTTTTGGGCCTTTTAAATAAATGTTAAATGGTGTTTTTTAAGGTAAAAATTTGTTTAAATTAAAAAACTGTTTATAATGAATTTTTATGTTTTCTTTAAAACAAGTTAAGCAAGTTCGGAAGTTTAAACTACTAGCTTTTTTTGAATCGACAATTTTATCAACAAATCCAAACCTTAACGCATAACAAAGCCAAAAAAGCTTTAAATTAAATTTGGTAAACTTTCCTATGTTAGTTTTTATAAGGTCTGCAAATCTGCATTCAATTTAAAATTACAAAAAATTAAATTTTTTTATATAAATTTTTGTCCATTCTTACGATATAACCCCTTAAAAATTGCTCAATATATTGAAAAAATTAAATTTTAGCCGAACATAGCGAGATCGATTCGTCTTTTGATGCTGATCAAGACTATATATAATTTATAGGGTCGGAAATGATTCCTTAAAAAATTACAAGCTTCTGGCTTAAATTATAATACCCTAAAATGGGTCTTAAAATGTAAATATTTATCTACAATTTTATATGATAATTTTTGGGAAATGTAAAGATTAAAAATACAATAACTAAGCCAAAAATGCATTAATTTTGATTCGGAAAGCGTTCCTATGTTAGTTTTTAGAAGGTTTTCAAATCTGCTTACTTAATTTAAAATTTACAAAAATTAAATTTTTTGCTTAATTTTTAACAATTTTTAACCCCTTTTAAAATTACGAAAAAATTGATAAATTTTTTTTCCTGCCAAAGATAGCTAGATCGATTCGGCTGTTGATGCTGATCAAGAATATATATGATTTATGGGGTGGGAAATGACTCCTTTACAAAGTGGAAGCTTTTGACTAAAATTAAAATACGCTGCAAGGGTATAAAAAGAAATAAAAGAAAGAAAAAATTATATTGACATTTCTAAAAATTTATTTCATTATATAAATTTATTTGCTACGTTTTTTATCTATCCCTTGAAAAAAAAAGAAACCACAAAATCACAAAATCCATTAAAAGCTTTGAAGAGTTTTGTACACATTGTTATGTATTCCATAAATTATATTAAATAGGATGATTATAAAAAGCGATTTAAAAATAATGGAATATAAAATCACCCGATTCTTATAGAGATTATATAAATCTCTCAGAACTCAAAACTCACCTGTTTATCCTCTGTGGTGAAGAGATTATCGAATGCAAACATTTTGGGTGCTGCCACCATGGGCGCCCGCTCCTGGGCAGCCTGGGGCGGTGGACACACCGTATTCCTGGGATCGGTGAGCGTAACCTGGCGCTTCTTCTTGTCCAGAGCCATGTACTCTCCAGGCTCTCCGGATCCGATCGAGTTCCTCTCCCGCTCTGCCACTCGCAACATGACCTTTACCTTGCCCACGCCATAGCACTCGCGGCTGCTGAGACGGCGACTCAGGGAGGCGGGCATGGGCGGTGGGGCACGCTGCAGTGCACCACAGAAGCCACCGTTCCGGGCGGGAATGCTGCTGCTGCTGCTGGCCATGGTGGTTCGTCGTAGCTTATTGGTTGCCACAGTTGGTGGAGATTGGTTTATGGCTGGAAGCACTTTTCCGTTCCTTTTTTTTTTTTTTTTGGTTCAGAGGGATAAAGGAAATAAAATTGGGAGTTAATAAGGAAGCCGAAATCCTGGCTTTTGTTTTATGACCATTGCTTAAAATCGTCAATCGTCGCCATCGTCTTTGGCCATAAAGTTTGTTTGTTTTATAAATATAAAACGCTGAGTTCGGGGGATTTTATGGTTCTTTAAATAGTTTGGTCCCGTCATAAATTGCGATTTCGGTCCGGGCCAATGGGCACAAGTTATTTGGTAGATGATATGCCGCCAAAAGGACCCTTCGGTAATGGCCATAACACTTTCGCTTTATGGTTATGGGCACATCTGTTTATTGGGCACATGCTTCACTGTACTATCATCACTATCATATGCTCGCACTGTCACTGTCACTGGCACTGGCACTGGTCACTAAGCTCGTGTTTTATTCACTTGTAGCATCTTGTGCATAAAATCAAATTTATGTCTAGAACTTGTTGGGGATTTTACGGGTTGAAATTATATGCTTCTTTTCGTATGCCTTTTTGAAGAAGGAGAATTATTCTTTTGGGGACACTTGTCGTATTTCGTCTCAGTTTATTTCTATTTGAAAAGTTTGCGTGCAACATTTTTGTATTTACGGTTTCCCAGGGGGGTTTTCTACGGTTTTAAGTTAATTTTTAAGAGGATAATAAGGTAATAAAAGTGTTTAGTCTTTTCTGGTATTTTTTGCATTTAAAAAGATTGAGCTTTCTTTCTTGGTAAAAAATGTATATAAATATATTTGTTACGTTTAAGCTTTATTAAGGTTTTAAGTATACTTTACTTAGTATAAATTTATTAAAGTCTTTGCTTGCCCACTTAAATATTTATTTAATTCCATTAAGCACTTTAAAGCTTACTCATTTCTCTAACAAATGTATTATATTTTATATATAGTGGAATCCTTGGTAATAATTTTAATTATTCATTACTTCCATGTTTCCCCAAAGAATTCCTTTAATCATCTTGAAAGTGTTCTTCCGGGATTCTGGACTTTCGCTTGTCATATGTCACTCAAACTTCAAGTTCATTTAGGAAATTCCCCTCTAGGAATTTCAGCAGACCCCAAGGGGAAGCCCGGATGCTGTCTTTTATCTAAACTTGTTATGCTTTATATTACTCGAATTATCAACTTTACTTGTTATGTTTAATGTTGTTCTTCTACTTTCGAGATATATATATTTATGTAAATTCCTTTGGACTTTTTCTGCCAGTCGCCAGAGAGAGTGAGCCGTGACATTTCTTCAATGCCTTCATTATTATTTCAATTTGACTTGGAGAAACGTGACATTTTTGCAACGTCTTTCATTAATATTGTCCCCTGGACTCACGGTCCTATTTTGGCCCCTGAGTTGCTCCGAGTTTCCTCAGGTTTCCCTGGGTTTCCCTGAGTTTTCCCCCAACCATTTCGTTTCGTTTCTTTTTTTTTTGCCTGAATGACAGGCAACAACTTGGGGTTCGGTTCAACTTCATTTTTCAGACTACGCGCACCTGCCAACTAAAAAAAGGGAACTTCTTTGGTGGCTTTTGCCATTCTTTTCGTTTTCCTGGGCTCCTTTTTTATATGGTCCTGGTTTTGTTGTTGTTTTAGTTGTTGTTTAAGGATTGGCGTCGTCCACCTTTTGAGTTTTAGCTTTGGCTTTTCACACAAATCGATTGGCAATGCCTTCTAATTGTACACAGAACGCACAATAGGGGAGTCTCTAGCCTGAAGTCAGGGGTTAAGGCTTTTCAATGGGTGTGTGGGGGGGGGGGTTAAGGGATTTCCCTTTTGGCACAACACACACACACACACTCGCACGCAACACACACACTCACTCACTAGCTCACTCACTGAACAGGAACAAACACAAACCCTTTTTTTATGACTGGCAATTTCTCGCTGTTGATTTCATCTTTGGCTCAACTCCGACTTGGACTTTGACTTGCTGCCGTATTGCCATGATTTATACTTTATTTAACACGACGTTTTGCTGGGATTTGGTTTGATTTTCCCTTTTCCGTTTTCTTCCGATTTTCCTGTCACTTCACTGCGACGACGACGAATAACAGAAATAAAAGAAACCCGCGAGGCGAGAAAGCCAAACGCGTGCCGACAGCGTTGGCATTACAATGGCAACTGAACTCGGCTTCGGTTTCGGCTCATACGATTGGCTTTGAGTTTCCCAAGCGAGTTTCCACGCGCAGGCGTGCCAGAAAAAAAGAGAATCGCGCGAGAAAATTGCCCCCAAAAACCATGTCCACGAAGGGTAGGACGATGGACTTTCACTCTTAGGGAAATTGTATTTTCTTTTTTTTTTTGTTGGCCAACACCAACAAACAGGCTTTGACAGCTCAGGTAAACAGAAAATCAGCGAGGCTAAAAACAAAAGGAACAACGCAAATGATGTTTATATTGTAGAGACATCAAAATGCTCACAAGCTTGGCTGAAAGTAACATCAGAAAAAAACCAAAAACAAATGGGAAATGGAGTATATAGAGAGTTGGACGTGAAAGGTACCTTGTAATGGATAAATTGGCACTCAAAGTACCATTTAATTACGAATAAGTATTTCTTTTAAAAGCTTAAGAACATAGTTTGTAGGTATTTTATAAATTTTAATACAATTTTATTAGATTTTCTTGGGGTATAAATATTTTAGCATTATAATCTTATATATTTTAATATACCAAGCCTCCATCCCAAAATTCACATCTATTGCTTTCCTAACTTTAGAGATCCATCAGTAAATATAACATATTAATAATTTTGTTGTGTTTATTATTGTTATACCATTATATTCTGATATATTAAAGTATAGTAAGCCTTCATACCAAAATTCACAGCAATAGCTTTTTTAAAAACCGGGATCTATCAGCACAGATAGAATATACCTTTATTTTACCTGTAGTAAACAGAATAAGAAGATGCACACGTGAAACACACGGTGATAGTTGAGCTGCTGGAGCGTCACTTAAGTGCCGCTTGGAGTTGTTGCTGATGATGGAGGGGGTCGGATTTTCCAGGGGCGGAGTCCAAAGAGGGGAAATGGAGTGGGGCGAGGCTCCAAATGCAAACGATGTGTTTTTAAGTTCGCTTACATTTGGCAGGCTCGTGAAGGAGCCGTTGTCGAGTGTGTGTGTTCGTTTGTATTTAAAAGCATGTGTCGTATGGCCGGGAATGGGTTTGGTCCGCACTCTGGTCTCCGGATTTACCTTTAGCTTTATTTTTTTTTCTCCCTTTTATTTTTCCTGCCGGCCAAAGTGGTGGAAGTGGACAACGGCGACGGCTCAATTAAAGTGGTCCTCGCTGATTGGTATTAAGGTACAACGGCACGAGGAAAAACTGTGGTAATCCAATCGGCTTTTAAAGTATTTCCTTACTAATTATCATAAAACTTGAGGGGGAAAATTTACCTGAAAAACATTTTCACTGCATTGGTTAAATCAAATTTTATGGTAATCCAAGCGAAGATAAACAAAACTAAACGAAATCGGAGAGTTAAGAGGCTTTAACTTAAGTGAAAGGAGTTAACAAGTTTGGGAGTCACTTTTCAACAGTTTTACAGTTACTACGGAGGCGCCATCTGGCGGTTGAGCTTCAGGTGGCAACACCAAAAGCGTTACAGTTTGAAATGTTCAGAGAAAATATTATACTCAATTTTAGAAAGTAAATTAATTGAAATATAAAGAATATTTATACTTTTTCCTAAATTAAAATGATATGTTTTTTTTTTTTTCATATGAACAAGAAAATATATATATTATATATATATAACCTAGATCATTACTATAATAAATTCACAAGAAAAACTCCATTCAAATACAAATAATTCGTTAAACTTTTATTTAGCCATTGATGTTTTTTTTTGTTTTGTTTTTAACATTATATACATACTTGAGTATCATTAATTGTCTTCATTTATACATTTTTTTTTATAGCTTTTTCGATTGTTTCGCTGTGCGAAAAATAGCAATGTGGGTATTGGTAAAAATTGCCTAGATGAAAATGCATTTGTGTGATGAAAAGAATCATGATGTATCATGTATATATCGTGTATCGTTCATCGGGATCGATATCTCTATCGATAACTAAGGCTAGTGTCTTTCGTTTCGCAGTGAGTGTATCGTGGGTGTGTAAAGTGTATAACGCATCGTTCGCTTAAGGACCTAAGACTTAAGACTAAAACAAACAATTTGAAACAAACAGCCTAGATATGGAAAACATTCTCATACAATGTGTGGTTTAGAAACAACTTCAGAGGTAAGAATTGTAGGGGGGAAATTGAGGGATATTCGTTGTAAACTTTGTCACGCGTTAAAGTCATTTGAAGCAGATCAGAAAATATAATACACATAAGGATTATATATGAAGTTTGCCATGAGTGGAAGTTGGGTTTGAGTGTTCGCCGCAAATCGGACTTCAGTTTGAATGGTTCGGATCTCCTTAGTGGGATGGGGCTCCGTAGGAGCTGCTGGGCGCCGAGGGCGCCGGAGGGGCAGCTGGTGCTCCGTACTCGGGTGCCGGTGGCGCCACACTGTTGGGATACGGACCGGTCTCCTCCTTCTGGGTCTTGTAGCGGATGAAGTACACCTCCGGCTTGCTGGGCTGTGTGGGCGCCGGCGTGGGAATGATGAGCTCGGGCTGCTCTTCCGGCTTCTTGACTAGCACATAGACCAGGGTCTTCTCCTCGTTCTGTGGGAACTGGGGAATGATGGGAGCGGTAGGTGCTGGCGGAGATGGGGCCTTGATGAAGACGATCTTGTAGTGCTTCTGCGGGGGTGGCACATACAGGGGTTTCCTAGGGGGAAAAATATAGAAGATTAGGAAGAGGGAAAGTTAAATAAAAGAACGGTCATCGAAAATATTGTCTCTTATATTGTCTCTTGCAAAGACTTTAATAACTTTTTCCTTTAAAATTTCCCTCTTAACCGGAAGTAGCAATCTCAGTTTCACTTTGTTTTCCCAAACTCATTACCATATGTACCGAAAAAAAATCATCTTAAATGGTTTTTCCTCACTTCCTACATTGTTTTTGCATCTCTGGAGAAAGGAGTTCCGCTGCGAGGAGTATATGCAAATGACATGCCCATGACCATAAATGGTGACCTGCCGAAAATGGTGAACCAACTGATGATGCAGCTGCCTGTCAGGTTTGGTTAATCGGATGAAGATGCCCCCTGGCTTGTGATGATAATAACAATGACAACGACGATGATGATGATGATGATGATGATGATGATGATGATGACAAGTGACTGTCACAACAATCGTTGCCCCAAGACGAGGGTTTACATAAAGTAAGGGAAGCTCCCTATGGTAATGGCGCTGTTCTCCATTTGATAATTAGCTTGGAAATGGTACTCTCCCTGAGATACATATATGTATGTACATATATCTATGCGGAGGAGCTGGATAGCTTAGGTAACATTTTAGTCACGCTTAGGCGGCCTGCAAAGGCATATCACTCCCCCGTTTTCGGGGTAATTAACATTGCTACCAACAAAAGACGACACTACAAAACAACAACTTTGAATTACGGGAGAAAGAGCCGAGAAAAGCTTTGGAGAAAGACACCAACTACCATTGAGTTCGCTGGCTTCTTCGTCTCGGGTGGTAGTATTAAATAATTTTCCTCCTTGCAGAAGTCTCTCTAAGTAAATACCCTGAATATGTGGCAATAAGTGAGTCAGCTGAAAGGGCCCTGAGCTGGATTAGATGATTGGCGGAGGCGGAGACCTGGGTGGGGTCTTGCAACATTTTGTCTACTTATTATCATCGCCGGAGGTTGCCTTATAAAGTTGAATTGTGAGAGAATCTGCATAAGTGGCGTGGATTATATACTCATAACACACAACAATGTGATTTTTTCTTTTTGGCTTTCGGTGTTTTTTTTTGCCAATCATAAGTGGAACAAGACAAATAAACCGAGATCGCTTGTAATCGCTCCTCAACACGCAAGATGTACAAAAAAATATAATAATAATGATCCAAAAAAGCAACGAAAGGGAAAGGTATAAGGGTAAAGAGTGTGAATTGAAGGGTTTTTTAAGTGGTTTACATTTGAACTTAAGTGATGCCATAATAACAAATTAAATTGAAATGATTCACATCCTATTCAGTTATTTAATAATAAAGTTATTTAAGAATGATATGTGGGTTTGTTAGGCTTTGAAGAAAAGGGTTTTTGGTTAAAGCAATTAGGGGAGAATTGGATTAAAATTGCCCTGTTCCTGAAGAGATTATTTAGAAATTTTGAAGATCCTTTAATAAGGATTATATTTACTACAGGTTCTAAGTTTTTCTTTTGAGATTATTTAGGCATATATATTTTTTAAGGATACCAAAATTCTCCAAACTCTTTAAAGATTCTAAAGTATATTTTTTTAACCTTTTTTCTGGGGTTATGAAAATCTAGCTTCTGAAATATTATTTCCCTATATCCTATTCTATATTCTCTCTCAACTCCTATCTTAAATAATACCCTATATAGTTCCTAGACCCTATCCCTCTATAGATCTGTTAGTAATCCCCGTAGAATCTTGACTCACCTGGGTGCCTGGTACTCCGGCTCTGGTGGCGGCACATGGACATAGACATGCTTGTGCACCACCGGTGGCTGCTGTGGTGGTCCATACTGAGGAGCTGGTGCACCATAGCCTCCACTGGGTCCACTTGGCTGATAGCTGCTGGATGGCGGAGCACTGTAAGAGTCACGCGGCGGCTCGGGACGAGCGGCCACCAAGGCAGCCAAGGCCAAGACGACCACCAACTGAAGGAGGAGGAGGAGGGAAGAACTTTAGCTTTCTCACACAATCTTTTTCACAGAGTCACTTAAGAGGGAGATGATCACACATACCACACAACTGGACTGCATTATAGTTGGGGATTTGTGTTTCTTATATATTTTCGGCTATATCCGTTGGGGAACCTGCTGCTACTGGCGACTGCTGACTGCTGACTGGTTACTGGTAATGTGGTGCTGCTGCTTTGACGCGGAACCTCTTACTGCATGCCACAACGATTGTTGCAGTTTCTTTTATAGCGGCGCAGCGCGTGAAATAAAAATTAAGTAAAAATTCAAGACGACGACCAAGACCGCCGTCGACAGAGGCAGAGTCGTCACCAAAGGCAGAGGCAGAGGCAGAAGCAGTGGCTAAGACGCGAGCAGCGAAGCAGCAGTTGGCCAAGAGCAGCTTCGGAATATATATATATATATATAGTATTAGTGGTAACCATGAAGAAATTGAAATGTTTAAAGCAGCAGCAGCGGGAGCTGGAGCAAGTCATCTCTGTTTAATTTTTTTTTGTTTTTTGGGGGAAACTGATGCTGCAGTCGATCCTCTGCAGCTGCCACTCTGCCTCTGCCTCTGCCTCTGCCTCGGCCGCTCCTAGCTGCGACGCCGACTGCGACTGCTGACCATTTCTTGGCCGTCTTTTTGGTTGGTTTTTCCTCCTGGCACCACGATTAACTGCTTCTTCGCGGTTTTGTTTTATGTGTGGTCTTGGTAGTAGGTTTTGTTTTTTTTATTTTTTGACTGCAACTAGGATTATTTTCAAGGGGAAAATAAGGAACTGGCAAGTTACATTGTATGTTTTTAATGAGGGAAGAGGGCTCGAGCATATCTCCTTACAGTCAAGCCAATCAATACATTTTTAAGGTTTTTCTTTATGCCTTGAATTTATATATATATATATATTCTGGGATGCTATGATTATTTCAAGGGGAAAATGTAAAAAAATGTTAAGGTAAATGTACTTTATAATGAAGCATTCAAGATTTTTAATGATAGTTATTTAGGAAGTCCTTGATTTATGCTTTTTTAGGGGGTGTACTTTATTTTGGGTAATAATATCAAGTAAAGGGCTTTCTTTTATTATCTCTATAAATCATGCATTACTTATAATTATTTTTATAATATGCAATTTAGTCTCTTATTTTATTTAAGAATATATATGTATATTTATGTTAGAAATATAAGGCCCTTGAACATATATCTTGAAATTCATATACTTAGCTAGCCAATAAAAACAAAAGGCCACCAAAATTAAATGTTTGCTAAGGGGCTTATTAAAATGCCATTACTTGATGATGACTATGATAATTCATGAAGGTTTTTCTAAATACTTACAGCTTACAATAAAAGGGATTAATAATGCTAGATTATTCTGTTTAAAAAAAATAGTAAATTTATAAATTGAGGTATTTATTTAAGCAGAATTAGTTAGCAAGAAAAGTTCAATATAATGTAGCAACAAAAACCTCGTAAAATTTGAGATATATAAACATTGAATAACGAAAAATATAGCATTTAATGTGAAACTTGTTATCTAATTTATGTTTATTGTTCTGACTAAATTGGTTTGATATATCAAGCTTAGTTTTAAGTAGATCTAATGTTATATCTTTAAATCTTTTATTAAAAATCCATCAAATATCCCCCTTAGAGTATTAACGCCTTCGAGGTGACCCAAAAAAACCAAAACCAAAGCCTTTCCTGCTTGTCTCTTCCTCTGCAGACTCTTTCTTTCTGTATTTTTGGTTTTCTTGTTACAGTAGTAGTATTATTATTATTATTATATATATGTGGTTTGTTGTGTATAAATTGTTATTTTTCGGCCATTTGGAGGATCCAATCGCAGTGTGCTCGTAACCAACTGTCTCTGCGGTTCGCAACGGATCGTATCATATCGGATCGGATCGTATCGGATCGTGTGGCACGATTCACTTTCAATTTCAATGGATTGTGGTGGACTCACTCTCATTTAGCTGGGATTTTACAGGGATGGGTTTGTGCTCTGGACTGGGACTGAAATCTCCAACTGGTGTTGGTTTTATTTCTCATTTCTTCATGCTCTTTCGGCCTTTTGTTTGTTAGCCAGTCAGCCAGCTTCTTTTTTTTCGGTTGCCGGCCTTTTTCTTATTGTTTTTGTTATTGTTATTATTATTATTGTTACTGTTATTGTTATTGTTGTTACTGCTGTTGCTGTTGTAATTGCTGTCCGCGTTTTTCTGGCCACGAAGCTTCATAATGAGCTTCACGCTCTTGTTGGCTAGGGTCGCCGTCCATCCTCCATCATCTCCATAAGCATTTTATTTAAATTTGTTGTGCTTGTTTTTGCAAAATATTTTGGAATTTCTTCAATTTGTTTTTCCACTCTTTTTTTTCTCTTAATTTTTATTGTTGTTTTTCTTTTTTCTTATTTAATAATTTACGCCTAGGCCATGACAATTTGCATTAGTTGTAAAAGAAAAGAGAGAAACAAAATTATGATTTTGCAACTTTGGCTTGACTTTAAGCTATATATATATATTTATACACTTAACATTTCCCTCAGATTTATGCACATAATCTATGAATGGCAATCAGTTTCGATCCTTGGTCGCATTTTGTGGCCACTCCTGGCTGCTGCACCGCTGCCGGAATTTGATGAAATGGCATAATCAGTGGCCAGTGGCGCCAAACGGTGGACGGAGGACGACACCAGTGTGCAATATGCAACGTGCAACGTGCAACCTGCAACCTGCAACAGTTGAGAGACTCAGCCAGACTCTGACTCCCTGGAGACTGTCACTTTTACTCGATGGCATCATTTATAATGCCGTTAGCCAAATGGCAAACTTTGTTTCATTTTTGTTTGTGTTTCTCTCGATTTTGTTGTTCATGTTCGTTCATCTTCGGCACTGCCTGCTGGCTGCTCCCCAGATTGCATTTCCTTAATTTTCCAACGCTCATCTTTCAACATTCAAAACCATCGTCGTCATCATCATCATTCGTCGCAAATTATTCGCCGAATTCCCCTGGAAGGTGAAACAGGTGCAGGTTCATGTACTTAACATATCCTAGAGGAATTTATGTGTTGATTTTTGTTTTATTTTGTATCTACAAATGAGGTGCATGCAAATATTTGGCAGATACTTTCCTCAAGGCAACCCTTGACCTATTATTTTGTGGAAGAAGAAATAGGAGGGTGTGAACTAATGTCTTACTTTTAAAGTTTCTTTTGTTTTATTTAAAAAAAATATATAAGGAAATTATTTTTAGCCGTTTGAAGAAATTTTTATGGTGCTCTTCAGGTTTTTACGATTTTTTAAATTCGTTTTAACTTAATGGCTAACCAATTGCTGTTTTTAAAATGCAACAAACTTTAGTGTTTAATTTTAAATACAGCAAAACCTGTGGGAAAGATTTTTTGTTCACTTTTAACTGAATTTAACAAGAAATTTCATAGGCCCATGAAGAAATAGGCTTTAATAAACACAAATAACTTGAATAAAATTAATTAAAAATTAAATAAGAGTGAATAGTATATTTATAGCCTGTATTATTTAATATCAAATATTTTTAATATATTAAATATGATAGGTTTAATTCTATATTTCTATTTATTTTAGTCAGAGACTTGTAACGATGTGAAGAATTCATTTCCGACCCTATAAATCATATATATTCTTGATCAGCATCAACAGCCGAATCGATTAAGTCATCTTCGGACAAAAATTTTATTTTTTTTTACATTTTGAGTTGAGTATGCAGATTTATTAACCTAATTAAAACTAACATAGGACAGTTTTCCGAATTCAATTTAATGCTTTTTTGGCTGAGTTATGAGTTTTTTAAACTTGAATTTTTCAATATAAATCTATCGTTAAATATCGATTTAAAAAGTAAGAATTTTTAAAACTAAGTTGTGATCGATTTTCGAAACTATCCTATACTAACTATCCTAGGAAGACATATAAACTTCTTATTTTCGATAATATTGATATTTAAAAGTTAATTGAGATGTGTATTTCCAAGCATACAATATTTTCAATTTAAATTCCATTATGAATTGAAATGACTAAAGAGATGACAATATTTTATATAATTACATTCCTTGAAAACCTTGTATATCTTTGTATTAAAAGATACACTTTTGATCCCTTTAAATAGTTAATTAACTTTTTTGTATTACTTAAGATACAAGGACACATTAATGCACACAATTTCGCAGTAAACAAATAAAAATGAAAATAAAAACCCATGAATGCACTCCTATTATTTCCTTATTTTCCACATGAAACTACATACATTTCGCATTTATCATGGAGAAAGATACATTACGCATTCTCGCGAATACAATTCTGTTGGCCATTTGTGCGAATTATGCATGCCGCATTGCCACATCTTAATGAATAATGCCATGCCACAGCGATTCTGAGCCATATAATCAGCGTCGCAGTCAGCCATTCATCTTTCTGCTTTCTCCGATGGCCAAAAAACTTGCGTACATCCACACCTCGGCGGGCAGAGAGATACAGATACTAATTATTATATTGTATCTCTTGTGAGTTTTATGTAACAACGCGCGCAAAAAAAAAAAAAAAAACAAAAGGCAGACGGAACCATTTAAATGATATTATATTTACATAAATAAACAGAAACAAAAACACGCGAAGAAAACAATTAAAATTTTCGTTTTTACAAAACGATGGTGGCACTTGGCATGGCAAAGTACTTAACGGGTTCGAAAAACTGACATCGGGAATGGGTTCGGTTTTTTGGGTTTCAATGGAAGATTTTGGTTTTATTTTTTGGAGATGATGCTGTGCAAGATGTGATGTGTCTCTTTTTTTTCCGGTGGGTGCCACTTTTCGGCGTTTAATTTGTCGAGAGTTGCACTTGAAGTACGAGAAAGTAAATTGAGATAGATGGGAATGGGAATGGGAATGGGAATGGAAACCCTCGAGCAGAGATGTATCTTAGCGAGAGATGAATCTGAGCCAGAGATAGTTGCAAGTTGCGTTACACTCTACATGCTACATGCTACATGCTACATGCGTCGTAACATTACATAACTGGCTCCAGATCCAGTTAAGATGTATTATAGAGTGTAGAGAGGAGATTGTTTAAGTTGCATTTTGAAAATGATTTTTCCTTTATTGTTTGCTTCTGCTGCTGCTGCTGCGGCGAATCATAAGTATAAATAACGATAGTGTAAGTTAACAACAATTAAATGTACATTTATATATAGTATATATATTGTAGATACGAATATAATAAAGTGTATATATCTCCTCTTAACTTCGGGCCCATCTTCCATGGCGGAGGCCATCTTCTTGGCTTTTGTGTGGAGGTTAGTTAGTTTGGGAGTTGTACATATAGTTTATAAATACACAACACATATACTAAATATATATATATGTCTTCATAATATATATATGCCCCGCTGCGGCCTTGGGGGCCCATTTAAAACTCCAGTTATTATTATTATTGTTCATGGGGCTCCGGAGGGTCTCTTTTTTTTTTTGTCTTTTTCTGTGTTTCTGGGCTTTAAAATATTTACAATTGACTCTGACTCGGTTTTAATGGTAGTTTTTAATTTTTATCTCTTTTTGTTGTTGGCTGACCATTAAAACGGGGGGTAATTTTCAAGGGATTTTTCGTTTTTATTTTTTCTTGAGGGACGGGGGAGAGTTGCTCTACAACACATAGGTACATATACATATAGGTACAAGTTAGTTCTCTTTAATGGGTTTATTAAAAATTATTGTTCTAGCTTAGGAACTGCCATTGTTGTCCTTTATAGTTGTTTTTTTCTCAGTTTTCCATTATCTTTATATATTTTCTTAACAGTTTTTCCAGTTTCATTTAAACCATTGAGTGTAATATAGATTTTTTGGGGCTTGAGGGGGGAAACCATGTCGAACATTTTATTCTTTAAAAATACATTTCTTAAACTTGAAAGTTTTTAGCTTGAACTTGAAGTTTGTTGGATTATTGGTAATATATTTAGATATCATCTGAGGTTTATAAATGTAAGAAAAGGCAAACTGACAATAATTATTTCAGTTAAGATTTAGTATAATACCTTTAAATATTTTTAAGTATATTTAAATGCTAAAATACATTTTCTACAATGCCAGACTGTAAAAAATACCAATACAAGATGAAATATAACCAAGTTTAATAATTTTAAGTGGCATTAAAATCACTGAATTGATTTTAAAAGGTTTTTTAGATTATAAAAACAAACCGAGTGTTTATTTTCTGCCTTTAAACAAGCACCTAGCAAGGGTCATTTAAGTTTTGTTTAGAGAGAAAAGGGTCACAAGCCTTTGAAAGTGATTTCCCAGAGTGTCCTTCTACGCTCGAGACTCGTTCACAAAGCACTTCAAAGTGATTTCCCAAAGAGGAAAGAGAATCCTTTGCTCCATTTATTTGTCCATTTTCACGCACTCTGCTCTTTCGTCTCAATTGGATTTTAATCCTGTGTAGAGTCCTTTTTTTTGTCGAGATTCCCCCCTCAAAAAAGACCCACTTCTAGTTGCCAGTTGTTGTTGTTGTTCTTGCTGTTGTGTGTCGTCAGGTTGTGTGTGTGTCAGGTGTGTGTGTCGGGTGTGTGTGTCAGGTGTGTGTGTCGGGTGTGTGTGTATATCTTAGATGGCTTAATAACGTCCATAGTTGGGTGCAAACCGGGCACCATCACCGCCCAGCTCATCCAGGGCACCCATGGCGCTTAGCTTTTGTAGCCAGGCGGCATTCGAGTTGCCATTGGACGCACGTAGATTGTAGTTGTTGTTGCCACCGATACCACCCATGCCACCACCTCCGTTGGCCTCATTGTGCAGACGCAGTGGGTGTTGCTGCTGCTGCTGCTGCTGCTGCTGCGGGTCCTCATTGCTCAACTCCAAAATCTGCAAACAGACAAAACGCAAGAGAGGGAAGAAAAGAGTTAAACTCCGGAGCCCGTCTGTTGTTATGGTTGTTATAATTATCGTATAGTTGCTGTTGTTAACACGACCGAGGCGACGCGGCCCCCCGCCGTCAAACAGCCGTGAGTTATTTCAAAAAAATTAAAAACAAGAAAAAATATGAAGAAAATCTGTTGAAATCTTATTTATCCAACGTGGGAAGTTCGTCACAGATTTTTAGTTATCTCGCCTTTTTTTCGTTAATTTTAATTTTTTGCTGCGTTTTTTTTTGGCGCATCATTAAATCGAATGAACTTTATCTGTAACGAAGCGGCGGCGGCTGTCTGCTTCTGTTGTTTGCATGTCTTAACCCATTTGGGGCCAAGGGTCGCCAAATAACAATAATAATAATAATATGTTTAGAGCCCTCACGGTCTAAACAATTTAATTAATTTTTCCCCACATTTTCAAGTGATTTGTATCTTTTGGGGTAAAGAAAATTATATATATTGCAAAATATATTTATCGAGGATTGAAAACCATTAAAAAAGCGGTCTAAAAATTGTATTAAAATTATAAGATTTTTAAATTTAATATTTTCTCTACTAATTAGGTTTTAAATATTTTTGTTAGCTTTCTTTTTGAAACCATTTAAAATAATTTCTAAAGAATTATTTTCAGATCTTTGTTTACCAGTTTTTAATATACTATTAATTTTTAAAAATTTTAAATTACAAAAAACAAGAAAGGAACCCGAAAATTACATACCCTTGCAGAGGGAATCGGTCATAACTAAGTCAAAATTTAACTAAATTCCAATCGGAAAGCTGTTTTTCTCTAGTCTTTATTAAATTAACAAATCTGCATACTGAATTAATTTTTGTTTTAATTTAAAATTTGTCTTAAATTTTGACAATTTTAATGATGTAACACACCTATAAAAATTTGAAAAACTGTAAAAAATTTATTTTTCTGTTGGACATGGCTAGATCGACTCAGATTTTCATGCTGATCAAGAATATATATAAATTATAGGGTCGGAAATGATTCCTTAACAGCGTTACAAGCTTTTAACTGCAATTATTTAAAAATGTTTTTAATCACTATCCAAACTAACTCTTAAACAACTTCGCATTGCATTATTGCAAACATTCCATTCTTTAAATAAAATATCTCAATAATTCGAAGAGAAAACAACTCCACATTGCATTATGGCAAACATTCCATCCTAATACATAAAGTATCTCAAAAATTCAAAGAATCTATCGTCTAATATTTCCCAGTCAACCCAAAATGGGTTAAACTTGTTTTTTTTTTTTTTTTTTTTTGGCAGAGCCATCTCTTAACTTGGCTACCGTCTTTTTGGGCTCCTCATCTCGGCCGCTGTGAGCTCTGATGAGCTGATGAGCTGAAAATGTGTTAATGGGGGTATTGTCGTGTAATTATCAGCCGCCAACCTCTTTTTTTTTAAGGGGCTACCACTCTGTAATCCCTGATCTTTTGTTGCTGATGATGTGTGAACAAACAAATACAAACAACGGCGGCAAATGAAGTGAAAAACCTAAGACAATTTCGCGCCAACTAATTATTTTATTGCTAATTTTGAAGAAGACAAAAAAACGAAAAAGAAGACGAAAGACTGTTTGCCTCCTTTCCCTTTCCTTGGCTTAAATGCCATTAATGGATGGCTGCCCAAGGAAGCACTGATGATGACTCTGGAATGGTTATCGCATTGCAACTTGACTTGACTCTAAGGGTTGCCCCCGATGGTTCCATGAGGAGTGGTGGTGGTGTGTCAGCTGGGCTTCATCTCCCCGTTTCATTAAGGCCTCGTTTGGACAGTTTAATTTGAGAGTTGTCGTTAAGTGAAAAGTTATGTGATTTGTTTGTATTGCCGCATAGTCTCCCCTTGGCTTCTTTTTTGCTTTTGACCAGGATTGGAAAGGGAGTTGCTTGGCAGATACTTTATAAATAAACAGCTGCGACTTGGGTTGGTTTTCAGTATCTGTGGCACTTGATGAGCGGTGGTGGTGGTGGATTGTAGGCTTAGACATTTCGTGGCAAGTGGCAAAAAGAATGTTGAAAATAATTGCCATCAATTGTGGACATCAATGGCGTAATAAGAGAAGGACAAACTTTTACTTTCTTGGTTTCGGAAACTTTTTATGGCTTAGATATATAAGTATAAAAGTATGTTTTAGATCTGGAATGTGGTGGAAATTGATTTGGGAGTATATATGGTATGACTACCGAAAATTTAATCAATTTACAGCATAGTCAGAGCTTAAAGAAAGCTAACCAAGGACAAATTCCTTTTAGGAGCTGAAGAAAACACTACTTAAATCATTTTCAATCAAAAAAGCAGACATCTTTTCCCTAAAAACCCTCTCAAAGCCTTTGAGCATCAAATTGAGATTGCTTTCTTTTTAATAAATAACTAATTAGCTCAACATTTTGATTGACTTAACCAATTAAGTTGATTTTAGGCAACTTCTCACTCCACATTAAATTGCCTGCCGCCTAATGGATTACGTTTAAAACCATCATCCCCCATCATCTTCTCTTTATCAAATTAACATTTGTGAGACAGAGCCTTAAATTAGTTTCAAGCCCCTTAAAATAATTATAAAGTTTGCCCACGTAGCAGTCAACCCTCAAGCCATGACACAATTATAATCCAATATATCTCTAATAAGTCAGGAGAGCATTATGAAATTGTCATTTTCCACAAACACACAGGACACACAAATTGCTTTTGGGAATTCCTTGGGAAGAAGGGGAAAGGGAAATGGTGTCCTGATGATAATAGTATATAGATTGAAAACAGGAAGGTCATGTCACTCCCATCTCCTGCAGGAGCTGGAAAGAAGGCCATAAGCTAAAGGCCAAGTTATGGCTGTTGTCTCTCAGGTTCAATGCATTATATTGTGTGTGTCAAGTGCTTTCATTTCGAATTCTGTCGCTTGTCTGCCAAGTGACGTAGCCAAAAGTCAACCTTCATCATCTGGCGACGACCACGTCATCGTCATTATTTGCTATTTGACATTTGATTTCCCTTTTTCTTTGGCACTAGCTTGCCCGCTTTTATTTTTTGTCCAAACATGGTCTGCTCTTGGTCTCTCGGTCTTCGGTCTTTGGTCTTTGGTCTTTGTCTGAGTCGCACGTCAGCGACTTATCGATTTGCAGAGGGACCATGACTCAGAAACAAGAGTCTGCACAAAAAAAAGGGGGAAAAAGATGCGTAACACAGCATCCTAGATTGCTAAATTCCTCAAGTATTAGTTCCAAGTGTAATTAATGTATTTTAGAGTAAGCAATTATGGTCCTTTTGACAGTGAGGCACTTCTTTTTAAAGTAGTTTTTTAGGAGATCATTAACTCTCAAATAAATGTTAAGAAGAAAAGGGAAATGAATTTGAAAGGAGTTTAAAAAGTGTCTAAGAATATGCAATGAAATATTATCTGTCCAAAGTGTAAGGTTTTACTATTTAAAACATAGTGTTCGGACACTAATTTAATTGATTTAATATTCAAAAACATGTCTGAGCTAGTTTGATTCTAAGAAGAAACATCTTATGGTTTTGAAAACAACCATCTTTTAGCTTGGAAATATTATAAAAAATATTTTTAAAAATAGTTTTCTTGGTAAACTTTACTTTATGAATGACTTTAGTTGCTTAAAAACCTGAAATTTTTATATAGCATTCTTCAACTTGTGGAATATATATCTTCTTCCAATATTTTCCCGCAGTGTTTCAATTATTTGCTACAGATACTCAAATCGCGATGGTATAGCAAACATTTTGTAGTTGCAATTCTGAGCATTTTGTAGGCTGCTAACGATGCGCAGCTGCGGATTTTTCTCTGCAAGCTCCACATGGCCAAGTGGGGCTTCCTCGGCTTTGGATACCCTGCTGGCCCCCATACCCGGTCACCTGATTCCTACCCTTCTCCTAGTTGAGCCGCATTTTTGTGTTTTGGTTGCGAAAAAGAACAGGAAACTGTGCCGAAAAAAAACACACACACAACACAACACATTAAATAACAACAACTATGGCAGTGGCGGTTAAAATTGTGCAAAAGATGAGGAGCCAGCAGCAATGAGCAAGTGTTGGCCAAGTGCTGGCGATTGTAGCCGAGCAGGCTCCTCCAATAAATAAAAAAACAACAACAAAATAAGAAATAAAAAAGTAAAAGAAGAGTCGATGAGACTTGCTTGCGAAATATGTAAAAATATTTCTGAAATGGTTTTGCAGACGCATGAGAAAACCACACAGCGCCAGGAGAGGGATGCGGTTAGCAGGAATCTGTTTGGGATCGAGGTACCTGGACCTGGACCTGGACCTGTAACCTTATACCCAGACCCGATGACGTAACCTCCATTCCATTCAATTCCAAAACACAAAAACACCATAAACCAAAAAGACAAAAAGAAAAGGTAGAAGAAACAAAACAAGTCACAAAATAAAACCTCAATAATTGGCGACATAATTGCAACTTAATACCACGCTTTGGCTCTCTTTTCATTTAGTTAATTATATTGACAGCGCTCCAAAAAATGCCAATGCAGAAAAACGAACAACTTTGGGGCCAAAAAGATACTCATCACAACAACAACAACAACAAGAAAATACACTGTCCGAATGCGCCCAGGTGATGACTTTCACCTGCTGTGCGGCTTCATTAATGCGTGAATGATAAATGTGTACCGATTACGGCATGACTTTAACACGCTATTATTTTTGGGTTTCCAATATTAAATCACTTGGAAAATATTTAAGAAATGTTATCCGGTTGCACTGATAAATACAACTTATTGAGAAGGAGTAAGTAAAGTATAAAAATAAATTAATAATCTTTACTTTAGAATTTTCCCTAAATTATAACTATATTGGTTGTAATAAATTAAATAAAATATTTAAGAAAATTTTTTTTTTTCCGGTGGCACTGATAAACATGACTTTGGGAGAAGAAAAATGTAAAATATAAAATCAAAAGAAATACGCTTCACTTTAGAATTTTCCTTAAAATATAACCATATTGGTTGTAATAAATCTCCATAAGAAAGTGTATATATTAAAGTATTATTACTAACCTAACTTGGCTAGTTATAGGTATTTTATACAAGATTCGAAAATTAATTTGAATTTTTATGTTTTTAATAATATCGTTGGTATTTTTGATAGAATTTTATGTGAAACCGTTTCAACTATAGCTTGATCTTCTTAAAAAAAATATATTGACTATTTTTTAGAACATTAAAAATTGCGTAGAAATAAATATTTTAAAATGATTTTTAATAAGAAAAGGTTTCTTATAAACAAAACCTATTCTATGACATAGTTGGGAGTCCTAATTTAAGGCCGGAGCTCTTGAAACTATATTAAAATTATATAAAACTCCGGGCAAAGACATTGTTAAGGCTTATATATTTTTGAATGTTAATTATTATTTAATAATTAATTGCTATGGGAAATTGTACATCTTCAGAAATGTACATATAACAGAATGTATAAAAATTCATTAATTAATGTGGGTTTTAAATTCATAAACTTTGCTAAAAAGCTTCCCTAAATTCCCTTTAAGGCCTCCGGCATCCTATCTTATTTATATATATATATCTTTATTATATATAAGTTAAGACTCTCCCCATAATTCCTCTCAGTGTATTATCGCTCACCTGCAGCATCAGTTCACGCAACTTGTCCAAATCGTCGCCATGCGACCTTGTCGGCAGGTAACGTCCGTCGACCAAATGCGGTGGAACGACCAGGAGCAGCACCGTCATCCAGACGAGAAGCCACCTGTGACCACTTGCTGGAGTTGCTCCCATGCCCAATACCGATCCCCTCATTATTGTCGTGTTTGTGGGCGTGGCACTCTTGGCACTGCAAAGAGAGAGAGAGAGAGATAGAGACTGTGAAAGAGAGAGGGGAAAGACAACAATTGCAGGATTGCAGGATGTGTAATTGGCATTGCATTGCCAATGGTTTTGGTGATGGCTTTTAAGGTGGGGTCGCAGTGGGAATAAATCCAATGGCAAACCAGAAATTGCCTTTAGAGTTGAGTAACAGATAAATTATTGTCTGTCTGGGATTTCGATAAATCAACGTTTATATATATATATAAATCTGGGCAAGGGAAGGATGTTATCTTGTGCTGATGCTGTCTCTGGGAATCTATTATGGAGCTCTAGAAGCTCTGGACTTAATTAGTCTTGGGAAATAATTTATAAGTGAGTTAATAACAAGAAGGGTTTATTTGGCTCAAATTGGTTAAATAATCAAGTATTGGGGAGTGCTTTATTACTATTTAATGGAGTTCTTTACTTTATTTTAACTAAATTAACTGGAGTAAGGAATAACCCGGAAAACTGTTATTTGAAAACAATCAAGGGATCATTAAATCTTGTTTGTTTTTTCTCTTTTGCTTATTTATTTCATCATTATTCGATTTTATTCTATCATAATTTCATTCCTCTTAAGTGGCAATTCCCGGAAATTTCAATTTAAAAATGTAATTCACGTTTCCCCTTGGCTCTGGGCAATAATAATAATATAAAAACAAAGAAACTGCACTCGGGGTTTTTGTTGTTTACCCAATCGAAAGAGGATTACACAATGTTTCGCCAAAATTTATGATTATGACACTGACACTGAACCACAAACTGCACCTGCAACCCACGCCAAGAGTGACTCACGGTTTGAGCTTGTAGTTTTGGAGTTTGGAGTGGAGGAGGAGTTGTTGTCCTGGGGGAGTTTCAAGTTGAAGGATTCCCTGCTTGTCGTCTTAACTACGTCACGTAGTCTTTGGTGTATATATTTTGTTTCGTCGATTTAAGGCAACAGCGGAGGAGATGTTGTGAACTAGGATAACAATGTAAGTTTAAGCCAAGCTGCGTGCCAACATTTGTATTTATAGCCAAAAAATGGTGCGGCACTGGCCGAGATTTGGTCGAGATGACGCCAGGACGCCGCCTGAGTTTTGTGTCCGGTCTATACTAACCTCGGAATGCGCTACGCCCCTACGGGGAATTGGAATTAGCCTCCGGTTTTGTTCCTCGCCTTGTCACCAAAGCCGAGAGCTCTGCGCGCGCAGCGTCGTCGCGTGGGGAAAAGCCAACAAATGCCAGTATCATTGTCACCGCCGCACACACTCGTTTACATGTGTGGGTGTGTGGTGTGTGTAGTGTGTGTGGTGTGCGGAGTGTGTGTGTGCGGTCGTGTTTGTGTGGCCTCGCATTTCTATTGTCCTGTTCTCGGGCGTCATCATCATAATACGTATACGCCCCGTACTCACAGCATCCAACAGCAAAGAGCAGCAGCATCAGCAACTCGTCCTCATCCTGGCCACAAAATGGTTTCGCTTGGCCAACTTTCATGGTTAACTCTATGCGGGACTTTAGTGGGTTGTTCTTGTCATTGCGCTGGAAATGGGTTCCCTGAGGGAATAGATTAAAGGGTATATTGGTAATGATCTTTGGTTTTCCATGTAATAGAAAATATGTTGTTATTTTCTTAAAAGGATTTTAAAGTTTATTAAGTGATTTTAAAGGAGATTAATATGGTTAGAAACTGTTATCTTGGGTGGTTTGGGTTCTATCCTTTCGTAAACTGCTTTAAAACAATTGATTATAAATTAATTAATTTATATTTGAATTTTTTGACTTGTTTTAAAAGGGATTTTGGAACCACAATGATTTTAGTGACAATAAGAAAAGAAACTGACTTCATGAAGCCAAAGTTTATTAACTTTTGCAGTTTGCATAACAGTTTGTATAACAGGATCGTATCGAAAATTGATCATAAGTAAGCCTAAAATTTTCTTAATTTTGTATCAATATTTATATATGAGCATTTTTTCGACAAATCAAAGCTTACAAATCTCATAACTTAGCCAAAAAGGCATCAATTTTAATTCGGAAATCTTTATTATGTTAGTTTTTCTTAGGTTTATAAATCTGTATAACCAATTTCAAAATTAAAAAAATATAATTTTTTTTTTAATTTTTGACAATTTTGATGATGTTGGTTAAAAATGTTTCAAAAATTAAAAAAAAATAAATTTTTGCCGGACATAGCTAAATCGACTCGGATTTTCACGCTGATCAAGAATATATATGATTTATAGGGTCGAAAACGATTCCTTCAGGGAGTTTTAAACTTCTAACTTAAATTAAAATACCATTATTTGAGTTGATATTTAAGATATTTTTAAATGACAAATTAAATCCTAAAAAACTCAACTTTGCCAAAAAAGCATTAATTTCAATTTGAAAAACGGTCCGGTGTTAGTTTTTATTAGTTTAAAAATTCTGCATACTCAATTTAAAATTTAAAAAAATTAAAATTTGTATCAATTTTTTATACAATCTTAACGATCTTAAAAATTTTCAAAATTTTGAAAAAATTTTATTTTAGTCAAACATAACTAGTTTGTTTCGGCTGTTTATGTTGATCAAGAATATATATGGTTTATAGGGTCAGAAATGACTCCTTCACAGCGATATAAGCTTCTGAATGAAAGTATTATACCCTGCAAGGGTATACAAATAATTAACATATTATTATTATAATAGTATTATTTTTATTATTTTCTCATATTTGAATGTATATATATATAATTCAGAATTCTTTACTCTTATGCACCACATAGTTCAAATTATTTATGCATATTACTAGTAAAGGGTATCAGTCCGTTCAGAAAGTTAATTATCCCATGGGAACTTGTTGTTTCTGCTGTTTGTGGCTGCTGTTGCCGCTGATGTCGTCGTCATGGCTGCAATTGTTGACATTGCGGGCGTCAATAAATGCTCCCAGACTCATACTCAGATCCCCGGTGCCATCATATACATAGCTTCGGTTAACTGGAGACCAGCGGAGTCAATTGTTATTGGTTCCGATACTACACTACACTGGAGCTCTGACTCTGACTCTGGCTTGGTTCTAGCTCTGGTTTTAGCCTGGTTCTTCCTCTGGCTCTGGCTAACTTGCGGTGTCTGCGGTAAAATGGGCCCATTTGTATACCATGCACGACCGATAGACCGAAATTTTTGATATAGCGCAGTTTTGTGTAGCCATTGCTGTGATTGAATACGTGACGGGCATGGGGAAGTGCGGGAGACCAGTGTCGGTCCTCGGGGCAAGGGTTTTTACGACCCCCAAAAAAACTCGATGGGGGAATACTAGTAGCAAATATGACCGAACGACCATTCATACACACATTCCTTGGGCTTACCCTTGCTCCGAGTGGTTTATTTATGACCCTGTGGCTTATAAACGCTTTATGAAACCCGAAATTGTTGATGCCCATTGCGTTCTGGTTATGAAAACTTCTCGAAAGAAAACAGAAAAGAAGGGAAAAAAGAAAAAATTAGATAAAGAAAAACAATTACTCAAAAAAAGAAAAATAATCAATGTTTGTCCTCGGTGGGAATTGAACCCTCGACATTCGTTGGATGCAAATGAAATTTGGTTAGCGTTGCCCTAGGCCGAAAGCTCTCCAAAGCTCTTACTCGTGGTTCTCCAAGGCATTTCTCCAAAATTAAGCTCATGCCGTTGTTTGTCGAACGTTGGAGACAAGCATCGGTGGTTCAGTGGTAGAATGCTCGCCTGCCACGCGGGCGGCCCGGGTTCGATTCCCGGCCGATGCAAAATACTTTTTTATATTTATTTCCCCTTTTTTTATGTTGGTTATTCCGTGCATTTGTTTGTTCGCTTTGTTTGTTAACCCAGACTGTGCGATTTTAGCAACTTCATTGTTGAAATTTATCAAAATGTCAATAATAGCCTGTTTTGGGGTCTTCCCTCTCTACTGGTCATATGCCAATTCTAATAAATCATGGGATTTCGTTAACATTTAGTACATTTTGTGTTAAGATGAGAGATTCCATCAATTGTAGCTGATTTTTATCATCTTACATTTTGACTACTGGGTATTTTTAAGGGAGGTCATAACATTATATTTATTATTTGTTAATTCTTTGAGCTAAAAATTAATTGAATTTATTTTTATTTTTAAATGGAAGAGTAAAATTTTTAAGTAATCATGACTTAATTTTTATACCCTTTGAGGGAATTATAATTTCAGTCAGAAGCTTGTAACGCTTGAAGGAGTCATTTTCGACCCTATAAATCATATATTTTCTTGATCAGCAAGAACAGGCTAATCGATCTAGGCATGTCTTAAAGAAAAAAAAATTTCGGAATTTTTCATCAAAATTTTATTATTAAATTTTATATTGTTAACATGTCAAAATTTGACAAAATTAAAATTTTCATGTATATCAAAACTCAGTATGCAGATTTTTTAACCCTTTAAAAACTAGCACAGAACAGCTTTCCGAATTGAATTTAAAGCATTTTTGGCTTAGTTATGTTATTTCAAAAACTTTGATTTATGCCTAATATTAGCATATAAAATATATATTTAATACACCTAGAATATTGATTTATCGTGTATATAAATATATCGCAATATCAAAATGCAGATTAAAATATTCAAAGTCGCCATAGTATCCATAAATAAATATTTTCTACCATCCCAACTTTTAATACTGACTAATTAGAATGAAAAATGGTATTCTTCTTAGAAAAAAAATCAAAGAAAATTAAAACTAAATAAAAGTATTTATATATTAACCTACACATTTAAAATTTCTTCTAAAACTTAACTAAACCTTAACCTTTCTAATAAACAAACCAAAAGATAGTTTAACCGAAGTGCAGATTTGAAAAATACGACCTTGCCTCTGCTTCGTTAATTAATAGGTGTACCAAATTTGGTAAAAAAAAAAAAAACAATAAAAGCGCCCATCAACGAATTAGTCCAAATTAATGGTTTCCTAATTCCTAATCGAATCAACTGAACCCATTAAAAAGTAAATTCCTAATGGTTTTAGCCTAAATAATATATACCAAACTGAGTATAAATATCAGACAGTTATTAATTTCATCACTTTTAACTTTTTACAAAAACAAATTTCGTAGCTTCAACGAAAGATACAAAGCTATCAAGTGACTTGAAGGGCCAGACTGTTCTTAGTTATTAGCCATATGCTAATTGAATTGTTAAACCCGAATTTCGTATACGATATTTGCATAGGCTTTATTCACTTGATTCGTTTTTACAATTACGTTTACAATTACAATTAGATTTACGATTACAACTACAATTACAATTACAGTACAACAAGACGAATGGAGGTTGAGTTATATCGCATTTTGATGGAGGGATATGGCTCGTATTAAAACCCTAGCTAATTTATGCTGAATCGATCTTAATTAGAGCTACCGATTAGGTTCTATCTTAACAACAACTAAAATACATTCAGTGGCATTCTACCTACGATTATACTTGTCTCAATTGCATTTAGCAACTGATATATGATATGTTTCATATTATATATATATTATATTGTTAATTGCTCAGAGTCAGAGAGGTGTTTTCTAGGGATTACATCTACAGACACAGCACGAAGGAAACAGGAACCAATCCATAAAGATGCCCTTGCAATCGTTATCGGGATCATAGGCGAGCAATCGATGCCATTTGTACTTTTGCTCGCAACCACATTCGCCCTCGCAACGCGGGGTTTGGGTATTGCTTAAAATAATAACGAGAAATTAATTATTATTATGTGAAAATTAGAGTGTGTATTAATTTATTCCACTCACCTGCACACCTCCTGATGTATGGCCTGCTCAAAGTGCTGTGTATTCACAATGGCTCGGATTTTCCCCGCCGAATTTGAGGCCCAATAAGGTGTGACAATTTCTATTTTCGACTCGCAGGCATCAAGTCTTCCCGTCCCCGAATTTCCATTCCCATTGCCACCTGGAGTCCTATTGGCATTGCTATTCCCACTGGATCCACCTCCTCCTCCTCCGGCTCCTGCTCCATTGCCTCGATTGCGACTTCCTCCAGCGGCTGCTTGTCGCTTTTTTCGAAGTTGGCCAAAGTAACTATCGCCAGCTTCTACGGGGACTTCCCCGGCATTGGAGGCAAAGGCGCCGGGTGGTATGAATATATCCGGTTCGTCTATAAAACGACGCTTCCGCACTTTGGCCTGTTGTTGTCGTCCTCCTCCTCCGCCGCCAGGACCCTCCATATTCATCTCGAAATCCCCATACATCCTTCGCATCAGAGCCTTGTTGTCATCTATGAAACGTTCGATCTTTTCACTACAAATATGGAAATTTGGTATCAGTATCAGTTCATTTTTTAATATAAATAATATAAGCATAACATATTTTAAACACATTTTTACTTGATTTATATACTTAATTTAGGGGTGTATAAAAAGAGTAATTAATCATTAATTCAAAAACAAATAAATGTATGTATAATATTAAAATTGCTAATAAAACAAAAATACATTTTCTTAATAATATATATATACATTTATATCAGAGAGATTGATCTTAAAGAGACGATAATGAAGTGGCAGAAATAAATTGATTATAGGGGGAAACGAAATGGTGATAAGATAAGGTCAGCAAATTGTTTCTATAGAGTATTTATATCACTCCATATATTCATTATGTGATTTGATTAAGAAATTGAATTAATCAAATAATAAAAGCCCTCTATTATGGTTAGCTTTCCATGTTAATGACCTCTCTGGAATTGAATTAATGATTTCTATCCATAAAAGTGAGACTTTTTAAGCCTAATGATGAAATTCATGGCAGCTTGACGTGCCTATGCTAATGAGAACCTCTAACTATGTCAGATGTCTATGTCTAGAACAGTCATCCGGATTAAATGTGATTCAGTTCAGCTTCCACCTTTTTTTTTGGCGAAGAAAGAAAAACCGCAGAAAAGCAAACATCCTTGACTTAATCAAGAGAACCTATACTCTTAAAGTATCATATTGAGGTTTATGAGTATTTTCAAGGGAAATACCATTTCCATTTGGAATTTCCTAGAATAAAAAAGACAGACTGAGAACAATTGGATACTTACATGGGATAACTATTTCCGGCCGTGGGACAGAACAGCTGATGATATCGCTTAATGCATGGCACTCCCTTGATGACATCGCCCCTCACATCCAAGCCCAGAGCCACCGACAAAGCCGTCCACCAGATCTATATAGAAAAACGATTAATATAATATATACACAAAAATATACACGCAGCATTGAGGAAGGCACTAGGTACTGAGATTAAGATTGATTTCGGGACCATAACAAATTATGGCCGGGGTGTGAAAATGACTCAAGTAAGCCATAAACATAAAAGTTCGTTTTATATCTCCGAGGAGGTTAGCGGCGGATATAGAAGGTGGATTTTTGGTTGGGATTAAGCCCGAGTTTAGCCGCGCCATGCGCCGATTTCCAATCTCAACACAATCTCTCTCCTCGCTCTTCTTTCGCCGTCGTCATCAACATCATCACACCTCTTAATGAAACGAACTCGCACGACCTTCGTGCGCAAAAAAAAAAAAACAAAAACAAAAAGCTCAACAAAAATAAAATATAAAAAAAGGAAAATAAAATAAAACCCCAAATGAAACACAAAATCGTCAAAGTTATTTCCGCAAAATGAGCAAACTCGATCGATATCGAGAGTACACTGTTGCAAAAATAAAGGAAACTAGAACCAAGAGTGGGGAATAGAAACTTTTAACTTAAATTAGAGACTTTAAAGTTGAGAATTTTAAGATCTATTTCTAGTTTTATGTATTTCTGGCTTAGGAAAATTAGTTATATCAGTTGTTTTTAATTGAAAGGGTTTTAAAATTGTGATTTAGAGAAAGATTTAAAATACTACAGAAGGCAATTCATTTCATTTCTAATTTTAAACTAATTTAAGGTTCGGATTAACATTTTTTTGGTGATTTGTGTTGTCTCCCAATTTATAATCAATTATTTTTGTGTATGTGATTTTTTCTCTCAGTGTGTCAATTAAAGTGCGCGCGTGCTCAGTAACCCATAGCGTTCCCTAACGCCCACATTTTTGTTCTAATGATTACTTACCGGAATCTGAAGAAACGATCCATTGTTGAGCTTGGGATAGGAAAAGAGCGGCACCACCGGCACCGTGCCGTTTTTCAGAAAGATCGGTCCCTGGATGGGCGTCACCGTTGGCATCTGATTGTTATTATTCGCCTTATCTGCGAACGGAATGCAAATGGGGTTCGAAAATTAAGTGGAAATCGAAATCAACGAAAATTGAAATTGAAATTGGAGTGGTTTTTAAATGGCCGCGGTGGCAGTCTGATATCTGCGCGCTGATTCATGGCAAGGACAGGGACCGGCGCGTTGTCACTGCATTAATCAGGCTGGTTAAACCCAAAAAGCCTCCAGAAAGAGCTGCAAGTGCATAGTCTGAGGCCGGAGACAGAGATCAGTGTCTGCATACAAAATGCAGTTGCAGTTGCAGTTGACACTTGCATGTACAAAGTATAAATTTCATGTCTGCCTGGCATTTGTAATGCCCAGATCCGGATCTTGGGCAGGCAGGCAGGCAGACATAAAACTTTCCCTTTTAATAATACTGCAGGATGCAAAACGGGTTGGAGAATGTACCAAAAAACAAAAGTAGGGAGCAGCACACAGTTGAAAAATATACATTTTTCGCAAATTTCCTTTAAAATGTTATTAATCCTCTTAAGCAGTTAAAAAACTAAGCAGGTCTACATCATTTGTGTTCACTTAGGTAATCAATATTAGAAGAGCCAAGGAAGACTTCTTAAATAAATTCTATGAGAAGCGTAGGGGAATGTTCCCTTAAGTAAATTCTAACCGAAGCGCCAAAGAGCGGTTCACTTAAGTGGTGTCTATGAGAACCGTCGAGTTAGGTTCCTTGAAAAGAATACTAGAAGAGCAAAGAAAGCATTTCCTAAGGAAACATTTTGAGAAGCGCCGAGGAAGGCTCACCTAAGGATCCCTTGAGTAAATTCTTTGAGAAGCGCCAAGAAAGGCTCTCTTACAATTTTTTTTTTAGAAACGCAGATAAACGCAGATGAAAACCAGGAACTCCTAGGATTTGCTTCACCATATTTTTTAAACAATTTAAACTCTATTAATTACAAAAGATATAAAAGATATATTCTAATAATCTATTTATATCATTGTTTAAATTTAAATCTCTGAAAGGAAATTAAAAGCAGAAAACTATCATCAACTCTGTTCATAACTCTACATTTAAGTTTTCATTTTATGTTTTTCCAATTCTTGTAACCCTTTTTTTTTTGCCTGTGTATCATGAAATCATGTCACTTTTCAGCTAATGAGAAATTCCTTTGGCCAAGTTATGAAATAGATTCTTTGTGTTTCTGTGCACTCTGATCTTCACTTGAGATGGCTTCTTTCATGATACACATCTATATTATGTTTTTTTTTTTCTGCCTGCACAAAGGTGGAAAACCCAGTGTGTTGATGAGTACTCGAAGGCAGAGCAGCCCCAAACTCGTATGTTGTGTCTTTGGGTCTTGCGTGCCTGCACACGTCTTCTTCATATATGAGAGCTGGTTCATGAGCATGTTTCTCTTTTTAGTTTTGTTTTTCTGAGGGGGGATTGAAACGCGACTTCTTGCATAATAGCCCCGTAACCGAGTTGAGTACTTGAGGTCTGAAGACTGAAGACTGAAGACTGAAGTCTGGGCAGGTTGCTGGCTGGCTAATGCCTCGCGAGATTGAGATGAAGGTGGAGATGTGCGATGGCGATGCCGATGGAGATGGAGTGGCAGTAACAAAGAGGCGCCACAAGCTTTGGCCGAAAGTGAAATATCCAAAAATGTGAAGCTGACAGTTTTTCCATGAGGACAACAAGGGCAGATATAGATACACAGATACGCAGATACTTCGAATAGATGGATACAGATACACCCCGGCACAACATACATAAATCGTGATGCGTGTTAGTTACTATAAAAGTCAAACACTGGCCATTACTGTCTCGAAAGTGACCTTGCCAGATCGGTTTGTAGACCTTTGACCTTGTCGCAAACGCCGATCCGTTCGCTTGTGTCGAAGCGCGCGCTTGTTTACCCCACCAAGCCTCCGCTATTTGTTATAGTTGCTTAAAGTCGCTTCTCCAACTCCTCCAACTCTTCCTCCCTCGATCTTGTGAAGAAGTTGCTCCCAATTGTAAAGATACACACAAGAAGAAACAATTAACATGACTTTCGGTCGTGTGCAGACGTGGGACTCTTCTGCGGGGCTTATCATCCGTCGATCTACACTACACTTGCTCCAAATACTTGTTATTATTATTTAACAATTTAAGTCTCAACACCGACATTTGTTTTTATTTATTAAATTTACTTAGATTGGTATCAGATGAGGGGATACAGGAAATGTATACATTTATAAAAAGTGTTTACTCTGAAGAATTATACGAGGAGAGCGGACAGGAATTCCCGGCTTTGAGAAAGAATTGAGGAAGTAATTCTTGGGGCTCTTGAACTGGATTTTTTGGTTGTTATTTGACTATTAAATCAAATTAATTAGCATCAGCAGAAATGTTTTCTTGTGGTAGTACAAATTCACAAAGAATGACAAAGAATTAGATAAGAATTAAACTATGAGAGTTAAAGGCATTTAATAGGATTTTGTTTTAAAGAAATGTTTAACTTTACTTAATACTCTTGAAGATATTTGGAATTCTATCATTTAAATATAACTCCCTTAAGGGAAAAAATACCAAAAAATTTGTTCAAGAATGTTTGCTTGCTTAGGTACAGTCTATGAGAAGCGCAGAGGAAGGCTGTCTTTAGTATACTTCGATCATTGATAAGAAGAGCTAAGAATTAAATAACTATGAGAGCTATATGCATTTAAGATGATTTTGCTTTTAAAGAATGTCTAACTATATTTGGAACTCCTTAAGATATTTGGTATTCTTTGTTTTGAATCACTGAAAAACAACTCCTTTAAGAGAAAAATACTAAACAAAAAATTGTAAGAAAACTTATCCAAGAATGTTTGCTTGCTTAGGTATAGAGTATGAGAATCGCAGAGGAAGGCTCTCTTAAGTATATTTTGATAATTGAAAAATACTAAAAAAAATTTTTAAGAAAGTTTGATCTAGAATTTTTGATTGCTTAGGTACAGAGTATGAGAAGCGCAGAGGAAGGCTCTCAAGTAAATTTTGATAATTTGAAGAAATATAAGGATTTAATCCTGAAAATGTCTCTGAACTCTATATTTGAAATAAAATCTGATTGGATGACGATAAAGAATCTTATATAGAATCTTATTTTTTAGTGTAACAACATTTTATATTAATGTATATAAGTTTCGAATAATTAAACTATAAAACTTCTGTGGTATTATCATAGATTCTTAGACCTTTCATGAATTACATGAATTTTGACCTGGTTATAGTTATAATTTTTAATTATTTAATTATTTATTTTGTTAAACATAAATCAAAGTTATGCTCTTCTAGAACCATTCTTGACTTGGAGTTTAAGATATATTTTTATGAAAGTCTTCATATTTGTGACTCACCCTTCTCCTGGCCTTCATAGTACTGTCCTTCGTCTCCATCCTCCTCCTCCTCGTCTTCCTCTTCACCCTCCTCCACATCATAGTCGAGCACCGCATGCACCTGAGTCCTGGATCCCTGACCAGCCTGAACCCTTGTGAAGCCCGGTGCCCGTTCTGGATAATTATCGGGCGGAGCAACGCCATAGGTCTGGGCAGGTTGAGCCTCTGGTTTGGCCTGCCTGGAGCGTTGTGTCTCCCTCGGTGGGGGTGGAGCAGGTGGTGGTGGCTGTTGGAGCTGCGGTTGCGGTGGTTGTGGCTGCTGTTGCTGCGGTTGCCTGCTGCCAAAGCTGGTAATACTAAAGCTGCCACTGTTCTTGGTGAAAGTGGCACTGGCACTGCCATGGGCATTGAAGAACTGCTTCTGCTGTGGCTGCTGCTGCTGTTGTCCTGGTTGCTGTATCTGTCCCGGAAACCGGGAATATGATCCCTCCGCCGGTCCTCGGGTCTGTGTGGTCAGCTGAATGGAGCTCTGGCCAGAGGCACTGCTTGATCTGGAGCTAGAACTCTGAAAGGACACGCTGTTCTCCTGCTGATCCTGCTGCACCTGCTGCTGGATGTGATAAACCGAATTCCTGACAGAATTCGGTGCCGTGGGTGGCAAATAGGCATTGTTATTTTGCTTTCGCCGACCGCCAGTGTTTTGATATTGATAACCGCCCACAGATTGTGGCGGAGCATAGGGATTATTCTTGTAGAAATCCGGATTAGTATCCGCTGGAGATTGCTGCTGCTGCTGCTGCTGATGGGGTTGCTGCTGCTGATGATCCGCCGGCGAGTACAATAGATTATTTGTATTGCTGGCCAACTGATGGATGGGATGCAGGGGCGCCAAGGTGACACCCCATGGCTGGCCCAAAGCACCGAAAGGCAGCGAGAAATTGGTCAGAGCCATGAGGGGGCGGAGGGAGGGTCGCTCTCGGCGATCAGTGATTAAACGAAAGACTCAGGCCACGAACTCGATTTGGACGCGAATGCGACATCATCTAGAACAGATATCTTTCCAGGCAGCGCACGGAAATTGATGGGCGCCCGCTCTCGAAATTGATTTATGCAAAAATAACAAATCAGTCAGAGATCCGCTCACTGGCACACACACACTCCACACTCTACACTCCAAACACACACACAGCACACACTCGCAGCTACATAAGCTAGATATATACGGATATATATGGATATATGTGCAAACGATGTTGTTGCTATTAAATAACTTAAGCGCGATCTCGAGCTCCGCGTGCGTCGTCGTGCTAAAAAACCATTCACGACAAGCTGACAATCGAGACTGAGCGCCCGTTCTCGTGGCGTGCGCCTTAAAAAAACTAAAAAAAGCGCAAAAAAAAACACCTTAACTTAACTTAATGGCTTGGAAAATGTTTCAACTCTCGAAATCTCGAAAAAATCTCCGCAAGACTTGAAACATTGCGCTCAGAGTGCTCAGAGCTTGGATCTGAGAGTTCCCCTCAATCTCTGAATCTTTAAGAGCGCGAGCGCTTTATTATCTGTCGATGTTTTTTTTCTGCTTTGGCAAAACGAAAAATAAAACAAAACCGGAAAATAATCGATACAAAATCGATCGAATAAGTAATGCTCTTAAATGGTTTCTATAGAGCTCAATTTTAGAATTATTTAAGAGATTCCAAAGGAAAATGAGGAGGTTCTTGAAACCTATTTTAATATTTAAAACATGTTTATAATTGTTCTTTAAAATATTATTAGTGATATAGAATTTATCAAAGCTAAAAGGGTTTGTTAAATATATTTGTAGAATAATTCTTTAAATAACTACATATCTTAAAGATCATTTCTAGATGTTTAGAGTTAAAAACCTCTTAAGATTTCTTGCATCTTGCATCAATTAGTTCACATAATTAAAACACTGTAAATTTATTCAGTGAATGATAGATTAACCCCAAAAATAATACATTTAATTTATGTATTTTGTTTAAATAAAAACGTATTTGAGGAATTTCCTTGTATAGTGAATGTAAAGTTTGTTGACAGCTGATTTTGCTGCCTGCATATCTTAATTGTATTCAGGTCTTTTATATTATTTTTGTGGCTTTTAATGTTTTGATTAAGAAGAGAGGAGTTTTTATATTTAAACTTTAAATCAGGTTTAATACAGTTTTAAAAGCAGACGGATATACATATATGCAAGATATAACTACTGAAATTAATTAGAGTCTAGGTATGTATATCGATAGGAAAAGTCCAATATGATAGATCAAGAAAATATCGTATGAAATTTTTAAATATCGAAAAAATATCGAATGTAAGTTTAAAATATCGATTTTATTAAAGAATGTCATTTGATTTACTTGCCTCAATTTCTGATTAACAACATATTAAACGGAATATCGAATGCTAAAGTATCTATTTATATATAAACTTTTGCCTCAACTTTACTAATATTTTCTGTCATTTCCCTAGAATGAAAATATTAAATTACATAAAATTATGAAATTATTATTTCATATTGTTCATAATTTAAGCATACCCTCTTTTAATATACCTTAACCGAGAGGGAATCTTCTTGCCGTCACAAGTGTTTGGCCCGACGGCATCCCTCAAAGTGGGATTAGGTTAATGAGAACCCATTTGATGATGATGAAGATGAGTTGATGTAGGTATTTTGTGACCTAGGTCAATGCCTGGATGCGTTGCGTTGGCTGTGTTGTTATACATTTTTTTGTAGTGCCGTGTTTTAGCCAAGAAACGCATATTAATCACAGTTTTGGTAGGAGCCATCGAATAGTCGAACAGTCGGAGCTGCTCTCCTCTGCTCTGCCCTGCTCTGATGTTATATTTCACATCGAAGGCAATGAAAAGCAAAAGTATATTTAAAGTGGGCTTTCAAAACTGGTTGTGAAGAGCAGCACATTCGAGAGTTGAGTCGTTACACACATGACCGCCAGTCTAAGAGAGTGGATAATCAAAGTTCTCTCAACTCCCATACGAGAAATACGTATAGTAATGTCTCTGGGTGAGATAACCCCTCTCTCTTAGTGGTTACAAGCGGGGTTATCTCCGGGCTAAGAGCGGGTTAACTCTCAAGTGGGTTGAGTGCATCGGGCGATGAGCAAATTGATGATGATGATGATGATGATGACGCGATAGACTGCTAGACGGAGGCGTGTGTGGACTACGTCATGGATCTCAGTTGAATGCGTTCAATTTGCATATTAGCACCTCGCTAACTGGAGCTCCTCCACCCGCAGCTCTCCTTCTCCCTCTGAAGCGATAACCGGAAACGGATGCACGCCCAGCAGCGTGCCGTGATTTTATCTGTTGCATGATTTAATTTTTTCCCGGGAAAAACGCCCTTTAATGGTTGTGTCTCCTGTTTCGATGATTCAGTGACTCGATTGGGGGGAATTTCTCCCGAGTAGGATATATGCATTAATTACCTGACCTGTGGTCCCCTTTTCAGGGTCACTTCTTGAGCCACTTTTCCTTTTATTTAATTTTATTTTTAGTTGTTGTTTTCGCATTCTTACATGCAAATAAGTCACTTAAAGTGTAACACTTGGGTTTGGCCAGCTGCTGCTGGGTCTGCCTGAAAGCACTGAGAGAAAATGTGGCCTAAATTTGTCAGCATAATCTATTAATTTATTATAAGATCTCAAGCCAAGATGGGAAAATATAATAATCAAAATTGGCAAGTCTGTTTTTTTTTTTCAATTTTATCAATAATGTGAATGTAAATAATAAAAAAAGTTTTTAATACCCTCGCAGAGTATTATAATTTTAGTCAGAAGCTTGCAATATAATAAAGGAGTCATTTCCGACCCTATAAGCTATATATATTCTTGATCAGCTTCAACAGGCGAATATTTCTAGGCATTTACGGAAAATAATTATATTTTGAAATTTTTTTCAAAATTTTATAAGGGGTTACATCGTTAAAATTGTCAAAAATTTGAATTTTTTACATTTGAAATGAAGTATGCAGATTTATTAGCCTAATAAAAACATGCATGGGACTGCTTTCTGAATTAAAATCAATGCTTTGTTTGGTTAAGTTATGAGGTTTTTAAAATTTGATTTGTTGAAAAAATTGTCATAATAAAATGTAAATAATGTCAACTAAAAAATGGTATTTCACCTTCAGTCAGAAGCTTAAAACTAAGTGAAGGAGTCATTTCCGACCCTATAAATCATATAGATTCTTGATCAGCATCAAAAGGAGAATCTTTCTAGTCATGAAAGAAAGTAAATTTTTTTTGGTAATTTTTTCAGAATTTTAAAATTGTCAAAATTTGACAAAAGTTCAAATTATTTAAATTTAAAAACTCAATATGCAGAATTGTTAACTATATAAAAACAAGTACAGCAAAGCTTTTCGAATTAAAATTAATGCCTTTTAGGCTTAGTTATGATTTTTGAAAAAATTTGATTAACCCAAAAAATTAGCATCTAAAAATATAGTTTTTATATAACTAAAAATAACAAATTTTTGGTATTCCGGGAGGGATAAGTAATATATATATTTAGGATTGCAATCAAAATCCTAATCAATAATGAATAAAATCTTGGTAAATTCCAATTTTCTCTCAATGTAATGTTGAGTGCTGCTGACCAAGTCATAAACGTGTAACCATGGCCATGGCTAATAGGCAGGCGCCTTTGTTCTATGGCTATTACTGCTGACCAAGCCCAAACAAATATCGCATATTTTCGTAAAAAGCCAGGGATGGAGGGCTTATAAAGATTAAATAATATGTAAAAGGGTAAATAAAAAGAATAGAATTTAGCGATATATTGCATCTCCTATTTAAATTTTAAAATTTAAAAGGAAATTTGAGTTCTCAAATTACCGGAAATCTTTCAATTTAAATAAAATACAAGTAGTTTGATATTAGTGTTATATATTTTCCTATTATGAAGTATTCAAATTGTCTTTTTACGATCTCCCTTATTTGTTTAAGAGCCAATAAAATGGTTTTTTTACTGCTCTTTCCCATATGAGGAAGCTAATGATTCATCCATGACTCTGGCACTTCCTGCCCGTCCCTAGTCTCTTTTCCTCTCTCACATGTTGCACAGAAATCCAGATGCAATTTCAACCGAATCGATTTCATAAAGTCAGAACAAGTTTGCGCACATAGTTTCCAGCAAAAAAAGAAATAAATCTATATACATATATAAATAAACAAAAACAAAATAAAGGTAAGCTCTAAAGCGTTAGTTATATATTTTTTTGCCTTTCCCTTTTTTTTTTATATGCGACACAGACATTGAAACTTCTTGGTGTGCTTGGAGCATAGCGAATCCATGGCTCCAATAATCCAAAAAATCCAAAAAGCACAAGCAAGCCACTCGACAATCAAATAATTTGACGCGAAATCGAACTGAATCGAGTTGGAGATCGACAAATGACATTCCTTCTTAGCGCCTGGACCCAATGGGGTCCGCCCCGGGGCGGTTTTTGTCGTCTGTCAAAGATTTGTACTGCTCGAGAGCTGTTATGGCCTTAAGTCGTTAACAAATTCAAATTTCAAATATATAAAATAATAAAAAGCGCCACAGAAACATCAAGTGTTTGTTGCTGGGGCTGCTGCTGCCATTGTCAAGGGTTCTCGGATCTCTTTCGGCGTCTCCGACCCAATCCCCAGGTCGAATCGAATGACAAAAATGTGCTCCAACGATGTTGATCGATTCGATCAGCATAAAAGAATAGAAAAAACGCTTTAATTAGAACCAATTTAGAGCGCGGACCAATTTATCAGAAGCATTTTGAAAAGTAGTTGAAAACCAGTCGAGAGGCAACTTTAGCATTTCAGAGAGGCATGGGGAAGGTGCCATGGATTTAACTATAATTCAACATTAGCCAACATTATTATTGTTATTGTTATTATGGCTTAAGACCAACTCAACTCCGCACAAATATTGCCATTTACGCATTTGTTTTTCTTTGTCAATTTCGAGAGGTGTGGACCCCAGGTTCAAGTGCAGCGCATTCATAACTATTCATTCCTATATACCACAAAAGAGATCTATATCTGTAACAATTGTGGAGCGGTCACTGCGAGAGTTAAGTCTGGGGTTTAATGAACGTGCCGAAGGGAAATATATATCCGATTTGCTACGTTATGCTTTAAAAGTTGGACAAAAACCAACGTTTAACAAAAGCAATTGCTAATTTTACGGTACTTATTAAATAAAATATCGCCACTTCCAATAGTATCGTAGTATTTAAAGATATTATAATAAAGCTGATAATTTTGAATATAAGTTATATAAAAACTAAATGTCTCATAACTTGAATCAAGCTGGCTTTTTGCGTAGAATTAAAGAATTAATATATCTATCTACTTTTGCGACAAATATTAATATTATATAGAATTATTTAAATATTTTCCTATACCTAATGTAGAATAAACTACTATAAACTCTAATTTTGAAAATGTACACCTAACTAATCAATCTTTAAATATTTTTCTTATAGATACAGTGTTTTACGGTTGCCAACAAATAGTTCTATGGATTTATTACTCACATAAATTGGTAAGTGAACTCCAAAAACCTATATAATGCTTAAAAAAATTCATATTTCTAAAGAAAAGATCTCTGAAATGCCAACACTGGTGCCTGGCACCAAAGTTGAAGTATTTATTCGGCGAAAACTATCAACTATTAAAGCGGCCCTCTTGTTTTTTTTTTGTTTTTATTTGTGTTTTTGGTAACACTTTCCGCTTTACATACAAGCGGGAAACCAGTTAATTAATTTGGTTCGATTCTTGGCATCAGGCAAACGCCAAAAAGTTTTCTTTATATAACATTTCATTAATTACCTTTCGATTTCTGGTTTTTACCTTGGGCGGAGTCATGGACCCGATCCGTTGCGGATCTGGGATTACAATATTCGAGTGCTTTTTGTGTTTTGGATCTTTTCAAGGAAATAGTTTTTTTATTTTATGCAACTACAACTTGTTGTTTACTTCGTCGTATGACCTCTCTCTAATACCTATCGTATTTCCCCTTTGTGGGCAGCACCCCAGGAGCCGGGTTCTGGTTGTGATTGTGGCTGTGACTAGGTCCACCACCTGCTGGTCCACCACTTCCTGCTCCTCCTCCACTCGCTCCTCCCGGGGAAGCTAGAGTGTAAACCTCATAGTCGCTAATGGTGAAGTTGTAGTCGCCAAACAGCGTCAAGTGAGCGGCATTGGTGCCATCGTAGGAATGGGGAAGGTTCGAATAGGAGTCCATATTCGTGTGGCAATTGCTGGAGATGAGCAAATCCGCACCAGCACCAAAAATGGGACCGCAACTGTGGGAAAAAAAGAGAAACAAGATATAAAGTATTGCCTAATCAATTCATTATTCTTGTTTTTATAAATACAACTCACTCTGGATGATAGCAGATAGCATAGGGTTTCTTCACAATATCAAACTTTGAAGGCTGCTCGCCATTGGCAGGATTAAGGGTAAAGAGAAAGGCCCGATCCGAGTGTACGTAGCCACCTTTGCGACTTGTTTTGGCCCAGGCCACGTCTGTATAGCCCCCACTGATCTCTCCGTGGGCACCCAAGCCAATGACCATGCAGGGAGCCACGCCATCGCAGTAGCGATGAAAGGACCCCGAATCGTAGCCATGTGTGGAGGCCCGGAAAACCAATCTCCAGGCTTGCTTTGGCACTCCGTACCAATTGTTGAGCACCGCTTGCAAAGGTAACTTGTCATTCCTGAGGATTTGAGAACCTGGAAACATATTAACCGCCACGGTAAGACGTGGCTGGAGTCTCTTGTCGTTTTCCATCATTTTGTTAGCATGCAGGGCGGCATAGCGATAGCGTTCCAGGGATAGCTCCATGGGCACCGCCCCAGTGGGTTCCACTTCCTCGGCGAAAACTTGACTGTCGATGAGCAGGAGACGAACGTGACCCATAACACCGCTTAGATGCTGACAGACACGAGCACGCTCCTCTTCGGTCCAATGGGCAGTGGGTTGCGTGACTCCTGCTTGATATTTGGCCCAGGCCAAGACACAGCGCCAGACTTCCTCTTCCTCCAGGCAGAACTACAGGGAGAGTTAAGGGAGTTAAAGGGCATTTAAGAAAAATTAACATGTAAAACAAAAAATCTTCATCTTGATTTGTCCTTACATAGTCTGAGGAAATAATCTTGATGATGGCATCCTTGGTTAAAGTCAAAAACGCATTAGTTTTCACACATTCAATGGCATTTTCACCAATGAAGATGATGCAGCGTTCCATAAATGAGGCAGCACACTTGGCACCTGGAATTAGAACAGGAAAATATGATTTTAAGCAACTGGGTTTCATTCAAAAATATATTAACTAATACCTTATTTAAGAAATTTAATCTCCAACCTGAAATTTTAATAATTAATCCTCACATATGAAGCAAACACTTCTCCACTGTTCACTACCCATTGAAAACCTCACAGTATTTCGTTCACAAAAAGTCTACATTTTATTTGAATGAACATTCCTCTGACACTGTTGTATTTAACATTAATATGAATGTACATTCCTTAGAATTTCTTTAGAAATCGGCTTTTACATATTTTTATATGATTAATCCTAAGAATTACGACGTGCAGCCATCGTAGGTGGAGGGGCTTGGCATTCTTGGGTCCTTGGCCCTAATCCTTTGTGGGATTCACGTTCTGTATGAGCGTTATATTATCGCCTTTGAGCATTATCCTGCCCAGATTCTTGCGTTGGCGCGTCTTCACATAGACTTCCTCGGCGTCGTCCAGCACCAGGTTCATGTACTCGTCGAATCCCACAATGTGGCCCTCGATGCGCAGCGAGATGTTCTCGTAGAGCCAGACCTGGACGCGGGAGCGGTTCTGCAGGTAGCGAAAGATCAGGTTGATGGGCTGAACCATCACCTTTTGCACCTTGGGATTGCCTTTGAACGACATTTTTGCTATGTTTTTAAGGCTTAAGTTTTAACAAAAATTTTAGCTTCCTTTTTTGCCGGCTTGTATTATTAGTGTGACCCTCGGTGGGCTAGTACGAAAATACCAAACATAGACTGACACGGAAGAGCAAAAACTGTTCTAAAGTTTTATAAAAACATAAAAATGTTAATATGAACTTTAGGATCATGAAAATAATTGTATTATCAACACCGCAAGAATCATTAAAAACTATCTTTGTTTGGATTTCAATAACCGAAAACATGCAAAGATAATTGCTGGTCACACTGTATAGTTAACAGTGCCCAATCGATACCTACGTGCTTTTTTACAGTCCTTATCGATAACTAAAGTAAACTATCGCCGCTGTTAAGTTTCTGCCTTATTGCTAAAGTTTGTTGCCGCAGTTTTCCGCTTTTAAGTTAAAATAAACACAAAAAGAAATGGCCATGGCGAATGTGGACAAAGGAGAGCTGATGGATCAGGTGAAGCAACAGATTGCCGTTGCTAATGCCCAGGAATTGCTCCAACAAATGACGCAAAAGTGCTTTAAAAAGTGTATCAACAAGCCGGGCACCTCGCTCGATTCCTCCGAACAGGCAAGATTTGTGTAGGCTCAAGTTTAAATACAAATATTCATAATTTGTTTATTATTCGAATGCAGAAATGCATTTCCATGTGCATGGATCGGTTTATGGACTCGTGGAACCTCATCTCGCGGACGTACGGCCAGAGGTTACAGCGAGAACAATCCAAATTCTAGGAGACAAAGTGAGCGATCTGCATTTATGCGACGGATCAAGGGACAAAACTCGGCCAGCTATTAATTAGTTTTAATTAATAAACTGTTTAAATGCAATAAAAACATGTGTGTTACGTGATTTTGATAACACAACGTGCCTGGGAGTTATTTTTCTATCGATTGTTTCGCTTAACAGACACAATTTCGGGTGCTGTTAAATATAAATACTAGAAGTGACATACATCGGGTTGCTGTTTAGGGAAAATACCAGATTTCGGTCTGTTTTTTACATTTGACATAGTTATACCAGTTTCTTCCTTTTTTCGAATGTGCTTTTTGGCGCCAATTTGTAGGGGTATTTTAAATTAGTATAAATACTATCCCATTTACTCTAATTGTTAACATTGTGTATAAAAATCCCAAAAAGTTGATAAATAAGAAACACTTACCTGCTTTCTCGTGTATATCCATTACGGCGGTTAAAAATGTGCAGGCATTATCCACCGATAAAGTGGATATAACATGATCCTCACAAGCTGTACGCAGCTCAACCACGCCCATATCCTGGGCCATCATCATCATTTGGAATACTTGCGAGTCCTGCAGAACCAACTACAATAACGTATTTATGAATTAAATGCAATTCCGATTGAGTTTTATCCCCAACTCACCTTGGCTGTGTACACATAAAGTATGAATTGTCTGAATAGTTCTGGATTTACGTGCGGCAATCTTATGGTAGTTGGCGTCGAGGCACCCGGTGCCCCTGGAGAGACAGTGCATCCGGGTATCCGGCACACCTCGCCCCGCTTGGCGGTCTTGAAGCTCTTGCATCTGAAATGGGGAGGGAGTGGACGTTAATTGAATGACCGGGATTGGGATGCCTCGGATGCCAGCACGCAACATTGTACGTGTCCTGCCCAAAAAGGGAAATCGAGTAGGATCCCAGAACAATCTTCTACAGACGAAATAAAAACTGGTTGAAAATATATTATAATTATATTAAAGGGGGAAGAAATATTATTTTAATTTCGATATTGGAAATCGATTTCCTTTAAATTAAAAGACAATTTAAAGTGCAATTTGTCTACACAATATCTGTTTGGTGATATTATTATTATAAGATTATGTTTTATTGAATAACATTTGTTTTGAAAACATTTAAAAACAAGTAAAGAAAATAACTACGGGAAGCCGAAGTATAAATACGCTTACAGTTGGCAAATTATGTATTGGATTGTATCGGAAATCGATCAGAACTATGCTTATTGAATCAACATTTTTATATTTCGACAAATCAAATTTTAAAAAACTCATAACTAAGACAAAAAATCATTAATTTCAATTCGGGAACCGTTCCTATGTTAGTTTTTATTCGGGTAAAAAATCTACATACTAAATTTTATATTTTAAAATATTTAAGCTTTTATCAATTTTTAGCAATTTTTAGCGATGTAACCCCTTTTAAAATTTTGAAAAAAATAAATGTTGACCAGACATGTAGATCGACTCGGCTTTTTATGTTGATCAAGAATATATATCATTTATAGGATCGGAAATGACTCCTGAACATTTTTTTAGGCTTCTGACTAATATTATAATTCCATTCTTTGAATTGATATTTATTGATTATTTATTTGACAATTTTTTCCGGAAAAACAAATCTTAAAAACTTCATAACTAAGTCAAAAAAACATTAATTTGATTTCGGAAACCGTTCCAATGTTAGTTTTTATTAGGCTAACAAATCTGCATACTCTGTTTTAAAATTTAAAAAAATCAACATTTTCGCATTTTTTTTTGACAATTTTACCGATACAAAATTTAAAAAAAAAATGGAGTAATTTTTTTGTTCTTCCGAACATGGCTAGATCGATTCCATTTTTGATTCTGATCAAGAATATATATGATTTATGGGGTCGGAAATGACTCCTTCACTGTTTTTCCGTCCTTTAACTAAAATTATAATACCCTAAAAATCTATCCATATCTATGTACATTATATACATTACTTGAACTCTTATGTGATCTTATTTAATTTGTTTTTAAAACCAATTGTTGGTTTTTTATTTGTATATATTATATTATTTGTCCTATTTTTCTCCCTGTGACACTCACCGAGCCATCAGCATTAATCTGTGGGCATAAATGCGTTCATCTCGGCCGCAAATAAAGACAACATCAGCACTATCCTGATCTTCGGACAGACGCTGCAGGTCATCGATTAATTGAGGAAGACTCATGACTTTTCTTCAGGTTTATAACTCTATTTTACTAATATTTTGTGGTAAATATTTCAAATATTTTAATCACTCTTGCAGAGTTGCACGTGTTGCCATAGCCTTGTTATTGTTTTAGTCTTTTTGCCAATCGGTTTGTTTATGTTTTTCACTTCCACGTTCCACGATTTTAATGCTCTCTGCTCTCTCGCTTAGTTTTCGTTCTCTTTTAATGGCTCGTTTTTTGTGGGAGCTCAGAAACCGGTTACTGGCTGAAAATTCTTGGCCAACACCAAGCCAAAATCAATGCCACAAACAAAAAGATCTTGGGGAAAAGCAATTACAGCCACAAAAATTGTAATTTATTTACACAATTTCTTTATTTTGTAGATTATGTTTTTGTTTTAAACTTATTTATTTAATATTTAAATATTTCATTTGAATAATGTGGATTTATTTGACCGTTCAACGTTCTTTTCGCGATCGCGTTGAATTGAAGACTGAAGAAGAGACTTGGAACAGGTCGCTCTTTAGGCTCTTTCTCAATTTTCTCAAAAAAACAGGTAAACGAGATTTGTTTTGTTTTGCTTTTCTCCTGTTTTTCATTCTTTCTCTTCTCTTGGTCTTTTTGTATTGTAAATGAGAGTTTAGGGATAGCAAATACTATATACTCTATAGACTATATGGTATAGCAAGGTTTCCTGAATGAATAAGTTGGAAGGTGAACCCTTTAATACTTACGATATCATATGGATAAATCTACATTTTCTGCCAACCCTATCATCGTTTTCTGAGTTCCGATCTTAAATTTCGGTGACTAACGAGGGACTTTTTTTATCAATTCAATATATTTATACATTTTCTGATTACAATTGAAGAAATCAGAATTTCTTTAGATTTTACACTCAATCCACAGTGACAAAGTGTCCTTGGAAGTAAATGGATCTCTCATCGCGAATGATGTAGGCAAAGGGATGAGTGGCTTTGAAGACCATAGCATCGGGTAGGCGCTTGTTCGATATTAAAGATTCACGAATCCCTATGGAGAATATTGGATGCATTAATAATATAATAGATTGATGTGTGTAACAATTTCTAACCTAGGATGGAAGCAAATCCGGAACCCTGCTCACTGATCTCAACGACGCCCTTCTGGATGACTTTACTGATTTCCGTACTTTTTTCTTGCACAAGATCTTCCAAATTGGCAGCAGCACCGAAAACCTCAACGATGCCCAACTGTAAGCAAAGAAAAGCTTAGGAAAATGCCTTAAAATATTACTAGGGCAAATGTTTACCTTTTTGAGAATGCCATTAAGTTCGGATTTGAACTCAATCTTGAACTTTGGCAGCTTTATGTGGACCTGTCTGCTGGTCAGATTTTGGTAGGAAGCTTCACCAATTTTCTCCTCCAACTTAGTGAGGCCATCGGCTTTGTTGGGCAGGAAGACGAACATGGAGAGGCTCGATTTGTGGTAGCGTAGTTGCAAAACCTTGGCATCCAAGGCGGGAAGTTCGCCTGCCTTGTAGAAACCGTATTGCGACATCATCTTAATGGATTGAGCCTTGCCAGAGGACGAATGAAACTTTTCCACTCTGGTTTTAAACGAAGGGAACTTGAATACCCATTCGCCTTTGAAGGCAAAAGCATTCAGTAGTAAGATTTTAAGACTCGGATCAATATCCTTGGCCGTAACGGCGTTAGGGATCCTGTCATGCGTCTTTTTCTTGACCCACGCATTAACCACAGATGCAGCCTTGTCTGGACTCGCCACATTAATGGGTACAGCTTGGGCGTGAAAGGACTCTTCGACTGCCTTGCTATACTCGGGAACTATATGGATTTTGTCACTCACATAAATGCTATTGGCAATATCGAGAGCACTGGTTGTTTCCCGCGTCTTAAGGACCTGGAAAAATGCGTCATACTTGCCAGACACAATTTTAGTATTCTCTGTCACCTTTAGAACTTCTTTCAGTTCCGTGGCCGTTTTATCCTTGGATCCCATGTAAATCATGTTCAAGGCGACCTCGAGGGCAAGAGGCGATGTTGCTATATTCTCATTCGCATGTTCCTTGAGCAGAAGTTGATAGTATTTGTTGGCGAATTGGCCTACCACTGACGTGGCCAAAAATAGCAGGCCTTTAAGAAATGAAATGAAATAAGTTTCTTTACAAAATAATGAGTTGATTTACCACATACCTAGAAAGAACTTCATTGTAAAATGATTGTGTAGACTCAGCTGGTGGATTATATATATACACTTAAATTTAATGAAATTAAGATCGGTGGATTAGTCAAGGGGGTTTTCACAAAATCTGAAATAATACAAAATGTAATGCTGATAATAAAAGCAATTACTAGAGTCGATAAGTTTAGATTTTAACTATTGCAGTTTTTGCTCTGTTGTGCCCTACATCTCTCTCACTCTCTCGTTCTTGCTTTGCCTACAAAGTACAAACAAATCAGCAACAACAACTTGTAAGTTTACTTTAGTAGCAAATGAGGGATTTGTTTTTAAACTGCATTCTGAAAGAGTTTTGTACTTCTCTACGATTTCGAATTAAAAGGAAGCACAGAAGAAAGAAAAAGGAAATTTAAATCAGTTATTAACTTTAGGCATTTCGCAAAAAGCAATTGTGGCAGATTTCCATAATCTAGACTAGAATATATATCTCTTTTAGTTTCGGAAGTTTTTTTTTTAAGGAGACATGATAAAACATTAATGAATAATAAGTATGTAATAAGTAATTACACAAAATTTTAAAGGTACAGTCGAGTCCCGATAATTCGAAATGGCAAGGGGATCACTTTTTTTACGAATTAGACGGGAATTCGATTTATCGAGATTTCTATTTAAAGGGGCTCAAAAATGAAAGAGTCGAATAAACGGGGTTTTTACATTTCACATCATGTTTACATATGTATTTAGCTTTATTAAAATTAAACAAACATAACAAATTTGTACATTTATTTGTACGTTTTTCAAATTAAAGGAAAATTAAACAAAAAATTAACAAACAAAATTAAGCAGAAACATTAAATTATTAAAAACGAAAATTTATGCTTTAAAATAATTGGTAATTTTTGATTGCTTCGTGTTTTTTTCTTTTATTTTTTCCATCGCGTTTTCTAAACCTATTAGGTTGTCAAACACACTATTTGGCACATCATGAGTCGAAAAATAATGTTTAAGTTGAGGAATTAATGCTCTGGTTTGCAAATTCTATAAAATTTCTTCTCCGTTCTGATGTCTGCAAAATCTAACGTCGCTTTAACTACAAAATATTTTGCATCGCATTACGATTTATAAGAGGTTTCGAAACAAAATTACGATTTTTAAGAGGTTCAATATTCTTTGCGTTGCGCCAAATACTACGAATTAACGAGTTTTTTTTCAAGGGGACAGAATTTTTTACGAATTATCGCGATTTTCGATTTAGCGAGGTACGAATTATCGGGATTCGACTGTATATAGTCCACCGATTCGTCATGCTCCGACTTATATACCAGTAAAATTATATACAAGAATAACTCCATAGATCATTGAAATAGATTAAATTTGTTCTAAAACAAATCTCGCACAACTGTGCATATGATTCCCAACAAGTTCTAACATCCCCGGAACGAAGTGAGTGCTGCCGGCCAAGTTTCAGAAATGTGTTGTGTTACAAAAGTTGCAAGTCATTGTTTATTAGTGTTCAAAGTTAGTAAGTGAACATACATACTTACTGATCAGAGTTACTTACTGATCATAGATACTTACTCTTTAGAGTTACTTACTGCTCAGAGTTACTTAGTGTTCATTGATACTTACTGATCAGAGTTACTTACTGCTTAAAGTTACTTGCTGATTAAAGTTAAATTAAATATCAGCTCGCTGCTGCTCTCTGCCTCTCCCCCACTCTCGCTATGTTAATCGCTCTATGTTAATCTCTAGAGGCAACAGCTTCTCTCCCACGCACTCACATTCTCTTCTCTGCTCTGCTCTGCTCTGCTCTGCTCTGCTCTGCTCTGCTCTTCTCTGCTCTTCTCTGCTCTGCTCTGCTCTGCTCTGCTCTGCTCGCGGACTATAAATAGAGGCGCTGAGGGCCCGCGCTCCTCAGTCTGTCCTAGGGGTACGTAGTGTTAACATCTCAAGTGATAGTGCAAGTGATCAGCCTTCGGCCTAAAAATATGACGTGGCCAATGCAATACATCTGGATGACTAGGAAGAAGCTACCTTTGGATGGAATCAGCATTTTTGGTCACAACACTGGAAGGAAGTAAACAATGACGTGTCCTCTACTGCGGTAAGTCTTAAACATGACATTTATATTACAGTCGAGTCCCGATAATTCGAAATGGCAAGGGGATCACATTTTTTACGAATTAGACGGGAATTCGATTTATCGAGATTTCTATTTATTAAAGGGGCTCAAAAATGAAAGAGTCGAATAAACCGTGTTTTTACATTTCACATCATGTTTACATATTATTAAAATTAAACAAACATAATAAATATGTATATTCGTTTGTACGTTTTTCAAATTAAAGGAAAATTAAACAAAAAATTAACAAACAAAATTAAGCAGAAACATTAAATTATTAAAAATGAAAATTCAAGATTTAAAATAATTGGTAATTTTTTATTGCTTCGTGTTTTTTTCTTATATTTTTTCCATTGCGTTTTCTAAACCTATTAGGTTGTCAAACACACTATTTGGCACATCATGAGTCGAAAAATAATGTTTAAGTTGAGGAATTAATGCTCTGGTTTGTAAATTCTATAAAATTTCTTCTCCGTTCTGATGCCTGCAAATCTAACGTCGCTTTAACTACAAAATATTTCACATCGCATTACGATTTATAAGAGGTTTCGAAACAAAATTACAATTTATAAGAGGTTCAATATTCTTTGCGTTGCGCCAAATACTACGAATTAACGAGGGGACCAAAATGTATGGAATTTTTACGAATTAACGAGTTTTTTTCAAGGGGACAGAATTTTTTACGAATTATCGCGATTTTCGATTTAGCGGGGTACGAATTATCGGGATTCGACTGTATAAATTTTTAAACTTTTAAATTGTAATTTTATAAGTCTGGCAACTCTTTATGTAAAATGTCTCGCATGTAGAAACACTAACTTGACGCTTGGAAAGTGTAAATTAAGTAAAACAAGTTCCTTAAATTGTTTATAACATGCAAACAATATTCGAAACATAAAAGCAAAATGTTTCTAGAGGCTTGAAATAAAAAATAATAATTAATTATTTACATCGAGCAGGCAACATGTTAAAAACGCTAGGTGTCGCTTTAGTTAATTGACAGTGCTATGTAAAAACAATGTAAAATATTTCAAAATAAATAAATCACTTTTATTTAGAGCCTTTAGAAAAAGTGGTGGAAATATAAAAAATTGCTCACATTATTATTAAAGTGTAGTACTAGAAATTTCCAACATTTTGCCTTTTTGTAAGAAAAGAACAATTTTTAAGCCTTGAATAAAATTATTAACTTTTAAATTGTATTATAGCCCTAAATCTTCACTGCAGCTTCATTCCTTTTTTTGTATTTGAAATAAAAGTCACGTCTGATATATTTTGCATAATATTTATCGTTTTTTTATTTGTTGTTTTTGTTTTCATTACATGTGTGTAATAATTTGTTTGTTTTTTTTTTGTTTTTTTTATGTTTTCTTCTTTGTATTTATTTGTTTCTGCACTACTTAAATATGAAACGTTGAAGTCAAATGTTTTTTATGTTCATTAACTGTTTAATTTGATTAAACTTTATTTGCTTTGTGGTGCATTTTCATGTTTTTTTTTCTGCTTCTCGTACTCCCTCCTCTCGATCGAATTTCTCACTACATTTTCTATTGTTTATATATTTGCTCCACAATTTGTACATTTTATTTCTGCTTCTTCTGAATCGTCGTCAGAGACACACATATATATATAACTATATAATAATGTTGTATATATATATATATGTTGTATTTGTTGACAAGACGCGGATTTGTTGCTGCATGTTTGCTTATTATTATTATTAATATATATATATATAACTTATGCCATTATTTTGTGATTTCTTCTGGTTGCTGCTTAGCCTTTGCACGTTTTCTTCTTTTTATTTATTTTGTAATTTTATTTTTTAACAATATCAAGCGGGGCAAAGATGTCGCGAGCTATCTCGTATTTAAATTTAAGTATATCATATAATGTCATATATAAACACTCGGGTTATGTAAAATTTGTCCATATATATATATTTATATACTTTAATCGTTTTAATTATATATAAAAATGATTGTTTAGTTTGTTTTGTTTATCTCTTTGGGTTTGTTAGCAAAAAAAGATGATACAAAAAATGTTTGTGTTTCGGGTATTGTTTTTGTAAAATTTGGCCATAAATACACGAGAAAATGTTTTGAAAACCGTTTTTTTCGACGTTCTTTTTGATTAACCTGCACTGCGCACTTCTGTTTTTTTAACTATGATTTTAATTAAGTTTACATTTAATTAAGTTTATTATCGTTCTGGTTCTGTTTTGGGCTTGGGTTCGGCTTGGGATTCGAAAATGAAACACAAAATTTTTGGATAGAATTCATTTACAATAATTTGTATATATTTTAATGTTTTTTTTATTAGTTTTTTGCATAGCAATCGTAATTTCCTTTTTGTGTTGCATATATAATTGTATTTAACTTTTTACTTAAATATGCATAACAATTGGTTTTCTTTGTTTTTCATGCTTAATGTTTTTTTTATATAATATTTACTTGTCAAAGTTTTCGTTTTTCGCTTGTTTTCTTTTTTTATTTTTTATACAATTTTACAAAATTTTTTTAGGCTTACATTCTAGACAAATTTTGGTATGAATTTGCGCTTGTTAAATATTTTTGTTGTATCGATTAATTTTAGTTTTAGAAATTGTATTCTTAAATACAGAACGAAATGTTTTTTTTTGTTTTTGTTTTCTTTTAGAAAGTACAAACACACACATATACAGGCATAAATAATTTATGAAATATGTTTTTCGGTTTTCGTTTTTGTTATAACAAAAGGTTTATAGATTTTAGAAATCTCTGCGCGCTCCTTTCGCTTGGCTCTTGGCTTGGTTTGTTATCCAGAAGATATATACTATATATATATATATGATTCTCACAGAGTGTTGGCAACTAAAATCCGTAGTACTTTCTCTAGTCTTTCAAAGTCGAAAGGAAAATGATATATTTACAAAATAAAGAAAAGAAGACGAAGAAGCCTTACCAACTAGTTTTATCAAAAAATGGTTACAAATCTACGAAGAAAACTAAATGCCTACGAAGAGCAAGAAAGCGTACAAGGTGACAGATAAGAACAGAGTAAAAGAATTAATTAATTAAACGATTAAACAATTAAGAGAATTGCTCGATCTATAACTAGTAGCAGCTACAATAAATATTTATCTTTATGGGTACGACGCGTATATCTTTAGTGTTTAATGTATATGTTTATCCTGCTCATCGTCTATTAGCATATTACTCATATTTGTATAAATTTAACGCGGCAACTTCTTATTAATATAAATTTGTTGTTTTTTTTTCATTCCTCCCTTTCTTGATTAAGATTTCTTTAAGTTTAGAATTGTTTAGCTTTTGTTTTTTGTTTGTTTCTTTTGTTGTTATCTCTGTGGTGGGTTCATTTTTGTGTGTATTTCCTCTCCTCGTTTCTTTTTCTACTTTTTGTCTGTTCAACTTAAGTTTAGGTTTAAAAACTAAAATGTAATTACAATCTTTATAAGAACCAGCTGCCTGCCTTTCTTAAATTTCCTGCTCGAAGCCTCGAAGCTTTGAATATTTCGTTTCGGTTTTAAATGTCTTGCAGAGCTTACAAATTTACAAATAAAAAATAATAACTTAATTAGGTTTTAAGCAGTATAAGTAAGCGGTAAAAAACACACGCACAAATTGGTCTTTGAACAAATATACAGAAGAGTTCATTTGTTTCTTGTTTCTTATTTTGTTTTTGTTTTTAAAGCTTTGGTTTCATTTTATAATTTCTGCAAGCAACGTTTTGAAAGATGTTTCGAAATAGGGAAGCCTAAATAAATGTTATTTTTGTATTTGTCGTTTTTGTTTCTTAAGTGAGATCAATTCAAGCTATGTGAAAGCGTTTTGAAATTGTCAAATTTTGAAGACGTAGAAGGAAGTTTCCTAGAATAAAAAAGAAAAACTTTATAAGCGAATGTATACCTATTCCAGGATCCATTGCCAAAAAGTTCAAAATTATATTTTATCTCTTTCTGGTTTTGCCAAAATATAAATAAGTATTTAAAAGCATACCCTGTAAAACTGGGTAATGCCTGTGCGTTTTGGGCTTTGTGCTTGAATTTGGGCAGCACTTTCTATTTAAATAAAAATTAGACAAAGTAATGTGGGGATTCTAGCTTAGATACAACTCTCTGTTTTTGCCAGGTCTTACAAATTATATGTTATTACTGATTTTGATTTATAGATTTTTTACATTCACTAAAAGAAAAATCAATTTGCGAGCTACCAAAGGGTTTTATTTTGTCTGGAAACTATAAATATTTAATAATTTATTTAGTTTGTTTCGTGTCATAAAAAATATAAAAAATACCCTTGCATTTTAATTAGAAGCTTGTAACCCAGTGAAGGAATCATTTCCGACCCTATAAATCATACATATTCTTGATCTGCATAAAAATCTGAATCGATCTAGCTATGTCCGGTCAAAATTTAATTTTTTGAAAATTTTGCAAATTTTATAAGGGGTTACATCATTAAAAATGTCAAATATTGATAAAAATTTTAATTTTTTTAAAATATTTAATTGAGTATGCAGATTTATTACCCGAATAAAAACTAGCACAGGTACGGTTTCCGAATTGAAATTAATGCATTTTTGGCTTAGTTATGAGTTTTTTAAACTTTAACTTTTCGATAAACTGTTCATTTAAAAAATCGATAAATATCAATTCAAAGAATGCGATCAATGATAGATTCCCTATTCGATCCTATGATTTAATTGGAAACCGCAAGGGTATACAAACTTTGGCTTCCCTAAGTTAATATCCTTTCTTTTTGTTTTTAAACAAAATCAATAATAACATTTAAAATGTCTGCCTGGTTTTTTTTCTGTATTTAAGAGCTGAGATCCTTTAGAAGTTTCCCCATTTCTAGGCTATTTCCTTTTTGATTTGTAACTCGCAGTTCGTTGTCGTTGTGGTTGAAGTGGCTGTGGTTGCTGTTGTTGTCAGTGGTGGTGTCTGCTTCTTGCTGGCCTTGGTGGCCATGGGTGGATGTGGGTGTGGCTGTGACTGTGACTGTGACTGTGGGTGTGACTGTGGGTGTGCCTGTGGATGGTGGTGGTGTCCTGCCGAGGCTGAACCACTGAGTATAGTCTGAGGTCGCGCTGTGCTCCTTTGACGCTGCTGTCGCTGCTGCAGCGGCATCTCATCGTCCTCTGAGTCTTCGTCCTCCTCCTCCTCCTCCTCCTCCTCCTCCTCCTCCTCTTCCTCGTCATCCTCCTGGCTCTCCTCCTTGGTCTCCTCGCTACCCACATGGCTGGTGATCTTCTCGAGAGCATGGCAGGCAGACATTTGGGCCTTCTTCATCGATGACTCATCGCTGCTGTTGCTGCTATCGAACAGCTGACAATTTCCGGCTGTGGCCGCCGAATCCGGGGAAATGGGCGTGGTGGCCGTGGGAGGCGTGGCCAGGGCACTGCTATGCGGAGCCTGGGCCTGAACCTCTTCGTCCTCGTCTTCATCGTCGTCCTCCTGCTCTTCGTGATCTGCCTGATCCTCCTCCTCGTCGTCATCTTCCTCCATTTCCTCATCATCGCTAGAGATTTGACTGGGCTGCGGACTCTTGGTGACCTTCTCACTAGTTTCTCTGACTTTCTCTGTTGGCTGAGGACTCTGCTCTTCCTGCACTTTCTTGGCAGGATTCTTCTCATCCTCCTGGAGCTTTATCCTCTTGTTCTCCGGTTCCTCTAGCTTCTCAAATTCCTGGACTTCGCAACAGGCAATCCTCCTTAGGCCATTGGTTGGCGCTGGCGCCGGCTTTATCAGAGCCGCTGCCTCCTGCTGGTTATTATTGTTGGCTCGATCCTCCATTTCCTCTTCCTCGAGTTCGTCCTGATCCTCCTCTTCCTCTGCTGCTGGCTCGCCCCTGCCCTCTTCGACCAGGACCTCGTCCAGCTGAGTCGTCTTCTGCTGCTGTTGCTTCTTGAATGGCATCTTGCGAAGATCTACCTTGCAGTCCTGCTCCTCGAACTGCCTTCGATAGCGCTGCAATTGCTCCGTGAGATCGGCTATGTGCGCGTCCTGCTTGTGGAGCAGCTCGCTCAACTGGAGGTTATTGTACCGATACTGATGGTTCTCCTGGAGCAGCGTCTGCAGCAAATGCAACACTCGCTCCCGATCCCTGGGCCGTGTCTCTCGCAGGGACTCCACCGCCTGCTCCCACGGCGGCAACATGGCACTGGAGTCGGGCTCCCCGTTCAGACTGTCCGTATCATCGGTGTCCGTGGATAGCTCGAATTCACTGCCCAAATGGGGCTTCCCGTTCGCTGTGACCTTCGTGTGATGGGGCGAACTGACCACGTTGGAGGAGTGAGTACTCAGATTGAGGCCTCCTCCGGCGCTGGAGGATTGAGTGGGTGAGGAGCCCTGGCTCTTGTAGTAGCCATGAATGCTGTAGTGATGCATATGGTGGGCGGGCAGGTGGTGCAGGTGATGATGGTGCTGGTGGAGATGAGGGGTCACCTGCTGCTGCTGCTGACTCATCATCAGGTTCTTGTTGATACGAATCCTACTCGGTTCGTTGTGGGTGGCCGTGAGGGATGAGCTGCTCCCATTCTGCATTGGCAAGGAGCTGGGCAAGAGTTTGGCATGCTGGTTAACGGTGGCAATGATGTGCTGCGACGTGGCCGGTGGAGGAGCAGCTCCTGCCGGATGCACCTGCTGTTGCTGATGTCCCTGCTGCACCTGCTGCTGCTGCTGCTGGTGCTGCTGCTGGTGCTGCTGCTGAACCTGCTGCTGCTGCTGCTGCTGGTGATGCGGTGATGTGGAGGAGGTAATCTCGTTGCTGCCGCCCGCCGAGAACTCCTCGGGACTGCGCATGTTACGGAGGTTAGAGGATGGCGGAGCTGCTGCTGCCGCCGGAGCTGGAGCCGTCTCGGGTGAGTTGCTGCCACTGGAGGAGGTGTGCGGTGGCTCTACCACCTCCAGCTGTGCCTCCTCCTCCTCCGGCGTCGTTGTGGGCGTGGGCGTGGGTGTCGGTGTCTGGGATCTCTCCTGCTTGATGTGCACCACCTGATGGCTGTCCCTTGATTCCTTCTCTCTCAACCGTTGACGCTCCATCAGTGCCGCCTCTCGCTCCAATCGCTCCCGGTCCCGGTCCCGGTCCTTGTCCCTTTCCCGTTCCCGCTCCTTGGACAGTATGCTCTTGCGCGGCGCCAGCGCCACATTGGGCTGATACGTACGCTCCGCGTACCGCTTGTCCGTGCTGCGGACCACACGCTCCGGATTCTGCAGCTCCGGCGGCTCCTGGCAGGCGTAGGGCAGCGAGGACAGTGTGGCGCTATAGGCATGCAGGAAGGCCTTGGTGGTGGTCGCTCCCCATGGCTGGAAGGCCGACGAGGAGCTGAGCGCAGGCGGCGGCGGATGGAGCACGTGCGGGACATGCGGATGTGGTGCGGCTGCCACCAGGACAGCGCGATGCTGATGGGGCAGCGGATGAGCATGTGGCAGATGCTCCCGCTCCCGCTCCCGCTCTCTTTCCCTCTCCCGCTCCCGCTCCCTTTCCCGCTGCTGCTGCTGCACACAGTGCGCATACATGATCTGGTAGTGATACTCCAGCGTGGGCGTGGCTCCAGCTCCACCAGCGGAGCCTTTCAGCTGCTGCTCCCGCTTCTTGTCCAGCAACGGTTGTTTCATTGGCGGCGGCGGTGGCGGTGCCAAGGCACCAACCACCAGTCCATGCGGATGTCCAGCCAAGCCGAGAACATGTCCAGTGGCCAAAAGACCATCATCCAAGAGCATTTCCGGCTGGAAAAAGAAGAGCAACACAGGGAAAAGTTAGAAGAGTTGTTAGAAAATGAGATTGCACTGAGAGAAGAGATGTTTTGTTGAATTTTTAATTGATTTTCATTGGAAACTAATCTTAATAACCTTTCTTCATTCTACAAATATTTAAAAACTATTAAATTCTTTAAGAGATTCCAAATATCAGACAATTTTCTATACAGCAACCGCTTTTATTAACTTTAAGCTAGATAAATGTTCAGGTTCTGTGTGAGAGTGTAAGTCTGTTTTAGTAAATTGATCGACCATAAAAATAGCAGTTGAAGCCTGGCAAAACCAGTAGCCATCATCAATTTGAATTGCAGTCGCAGCTATAGCTGGCCAGCGAGTGGGCTAATTATAAACAAACAACCCGAATGGTCCAAAGGAGCCACGATCTCCTCATGGCAGACACCGGACCAAGCCCCAAACCAGAGGCAACCCCGCGGCTATGGCGCCAATTGTCATTGAGACCACGAACCGAACCAGAACCCAGTCGGAGAGGAGAGAGTAGAGAGAGGAGAGTGGAGTAGACAGACGGAGGAGGAGAAGGAAGATGACTCCACCTCTGGTCCTGTGAGTGGAGACCGCTTTGAAGTGGCTCCCGCTCCCGGTTCCAACCACTGCCACTCATCTATACCCTGTAATTGGGAAAAGGAAGTAATTGGACTAATAAACAAAGCTTATAAATTAATAATTACACCTTATTTTAAAGCAGGAGAAGTTTAAAAGGGAATTAAGACATTTATTTTAAATACTTTTTACCTTAAAGGGTTGTTAAATTTTTCTTTCTTTCTCATATAATATTTACTCAAAGTCTTTTAATATTTTTTAATAATTCCCAATGAATATCCATTGATAATATTGCTTCATCTACTTTGCTTGCTTGAAAAATATTACAGAATTGTAATTTATTCTCCATTAATTTAAAGTATTGTCAAGTTCTTCTCATTGGTAAATTCCAAGAGGTACTTTTCTGTTTAATATTCCATATTGCGCGTAAATATTTGCATTATCAGCTTGGTTCAGAAAAGGAAGTCTCGCGAGATGAGAGTATGGGAAAAGGCGTAGAGAGCCGGTTTGGTGATTTTGCGTGTTTGTGTAGCTGTTAAAATGATTGGCACTGCATCCAATTATGGACAACGCAGACTCAGCCATCATCCACATCGGCGGCATCGGTTGCAGCAGCAGCCATAAAGTGATTTTTGAATGGAGGCGGCGCCATTATCCATTACCGCTTTACTCCAACTCCAACTGCAGCTTCAACTCCAACTCCAAGTCCATCTCCGACTCCAAACTCCATCTCCATCCTCCAACTGAAGCTCCTGCTCTTCCTGCTCCCTGCTCTGGAGGAGGTGTCGCAGCGGCAGTTAAACAAATGGCCAATGCAAACGATGGCCATGATCGAGACGGGACAAAGTAGTAGAGATTTCAGAAGTCAAGAGAAGATGCTCCCGCTGACTTGGTAAATGGGTAACCGAAAGGTGGGCTAATGATGATGGAGATCTTAAGATCCCGGGCTTAAGATCAGCGGTGAGCGTGTCAACAACGGCTCATTAGCATAATCATGGCATTGGGTTTCTTGGGAGCAGCCATTAAGGCAATCAAAGAACAAGTTATGGATGCTGCCCCTCTTTCGCTAACCCTCCAAAAAAGTAGGCAACATAAATGGCTTTGTATAATTCCCAAATTTCGAATTGAAAACACATTAAAACTAGGCTTCAGATTAAGGCCAAGGAATATAAATAGAAAACTTTTAATGAAATTAAAAAGAAACTATCCAAGATATAGGAGATGGAGATAAGAAAACTGGAAGCCAGACAGGCACACACACACACACACACTCGCAACGGAGGCGCACACAAATGAACCATTAAACAGCAGAATCATAAAAATCAAGAGCCATAAAGAAGTCGTCGCAAAGGAGCGCCATCTCCAGAAGACTTGGGTGACTCTTCTGCCACCAGCTGAGGAGGAGGCTGCTGCAAGGAGGAGGCGCAGCAGGAGATGCCCGGCGACCGAGAGTCGCTTTAACTGTAAGCAGATGGCAGCCAGCGATAGATGACGAGGCATCGAAGCAGTGAAGGAGTTTTCTGAATTACACTTGGCAAAAAAAAGGATGCCGAAAATCAATGGGGTTTAAATTGTTAAGGTTTTGTATTGTATTCCTTTTTAATTAGTGGAAACTTCTTTATTTTGGTTATTTATTTTAATGAGAGGGTTCTTAAAATCCAATTTCCAAATTATTTTTTAGAACAATTGGAAGGATTACTTATGCTATATTATAAATCAGTAGAAAGTTAGATTCTTAGTTTTGTAAAATTGTGTTTAAGCTGTTTAACTCAAGCTTAACTCAAAATCACAGGGGATTTGACGTATCTTAGAATATTTTATATGAAATACCATAACTAGAAAACTTTTAATAAAATTAAGAAAAACTATTCAAGATATAGGAGATGGAGACATGAGATTTGACGTATCTTAGAATATTTTAGATAAAATACCTTTTCGACTTCTATACTTAAAATTTTCTAGTTGCTTTATAAGAAAATTGGGTTTTATCTTAATTTTTTGTTCTTTAATTCCCAAAAAAGGGTATAATAACCCCAAATGTACTAAGTAATTGACGGTAAATTAAGGCATTTTTCATAAAATAAAAGCATGTTTTTTTGCTGATAATAATAATATATAATAATAATTTTCTGCCAGTGCATTTGAAGCACTGTAGTAGCCATGAGGCCGGAGTGGCCGGTTGTCTCCAGTCTCCAGTCTCCAGTCTCCATGCTGGCGCACGCGTCGTCGCTGACGGTGCAATGACAAATTGCACTCTTGGCAGAGGTGGAGCAGGGTGCAGGAGTGGATTAAGAGGATGCAGGAGGAGATGAAGAGGAGGAGGAGGGAGGGAGGGAGTAGTCACCTCCGTAGCCAGCGAGTGCGGGTGCAACAAGACGGCACAGTTTTGGTATCGAAGTCGTTGCTGGTGCTTAAGTCCAAGGTCTTTTGCCATAACTCAGCGGCAAAAAATGATGGGCAACCAGGGAAGGCATGTGAGATTATAAAGGGGGTTAGAATATAGCTATAAGGTTTAGTTTTATAAAGAGTTTCAAGTACCCTAACCATGGATATTTTAGATATTTTTTTATTATAGTTGAGAAAGAAATTCAATTTTGCTTGAAACAATTTCAATACTTTGTTAATCATCTTGTTATTTTAGAGAACCCATTTTCTTGAAAGAGTATCTTCCAAAATAATTGCACCCAAGTGACGACGGCTGTTGTTGCTGCTTTTTTTCAAAGGGGGATTCTCAAGTAGACTTGCAGCAAAAGGGGGAGGTAACCACTGGGTTGGGAGTAAAGCCATGGCAGAGACATGACTCCGCTTGACGATAAGATCATGGCAAATATTGACGACGACCGCGACGGACATGGACACAAGACTTGGGGACATTGAGACAAGGAGATGGCGATGGCGATGGCGATGGCGATGGCGATGGCGATGTGAATGCCGAGCTGCTTTGTGGAGATGCCAATGGAGACGGCAAAGCCGGCGTTGACAATGAAGTCCGACAGAGTCATGTATGGGTGCAACGGCAACAACTGATGCAACTGCAACATGCACAGCGGCAACAACTTGCGCCCCATTGATTTAGACTGGCAATTATGCAGCCAAAGATCGGCGTCTCCGTCGTCGTCCTGCTTGCATGTTCCTCAATTGATGAGGATGGGTTTTGGATTTCGCGGAGGAGGAGAAGGAGGAGGAGGGAGCAAGCTGCAAGCTGCAGCTGGATGCAGTGGCGTCCATGTGGAAATGGAGCAGCGCGACCCATATGCAATGCAACACACTGCATCGTTGTCGTCTTTTGGCTGCTGTCAGCCTCATCTGCATTTTCTTGGCGTCATCTTGTTGTTGCTGCTGTGCAGAGAGAGAAATTTTGAGGGGTTTTTGGATGTTTTCTTAATCTTAAATCATTAATTATTCCCACTTCTTGCAGTGTAGACATGGTGCCTTTTTCTTGTATTTTTTTCTGCGTCTGGGACAAGCCGTAAACTTGTTTATCCCGCCGAATTCGTATCGACATTACACTAGCTACTACTATCCCATTTCTCCTAACTTTTGACTCTTTTTCTGCTTTTTTTGTTAGTTCGACGGCGACATTTTACAATTTTCAATTCGTGTTTGTTGTCTGTCTGTCGCCAAGGAAGGAGGAAAGAGAGCGCCAAATACAACTTACAAAAAACTAAAAACCCCAGCCAAGAAACTACCAAAAATACAAAAAAAAAGGAAGTCACAGTCACAGAGTCACAGTGACTATTGTCAAGAGCTGCCGAGCATGACCATGACACACACAGAGCCAAAGCTCAAGAGTTTCAATGACAAAAAAAGAGTTCAAAAAGAGTTACTCAAGTTTCTGGGGAAGGTTTTTCATTGAACTTTAGTTAATTTTGGGGTAAGTCTTAACCCAGATACTAAAAGGAGTAAAGAGGTTGATATAAAGTTTAGAAATCAGTTTTTGAAGACGTGATTTTGTGCGAAAAGAGACATAAGAAATGGTTATAGATATAACATTTATAGGTTATATCCCCATAACTTTATCGATCATTTTTTGGTGTTTCCATTACAAAAATAAGCATTCTTTACGATTAACTCTGGTTAGATTATAAGGTGAAAATGTTAAAAATTTATAAACCATTACCACTTTATATATTTCTGTAACTATAACCTCCATAAAACTTTAATATGCCCCCCCTATTTTTTACTTGGAGCTAAGCTGTCAGCTTTTGCCAAGTCATAAAGATATTGCCTGTAACTAAATTGGATTTTCTGCCACAGAAGACATCCTAAAGCCCCTTCTTTCCATATATTATTACCTTAACACGCTTATAACTTCATGCAGATCCCATTTAAATAATGGCTAATTTAATTAAAGAGCATATAATAATCATCAGCATTTCGAGCGAAACAAGTCGAAAACTGTAAAAATGCGC